CACTGCCAGCACTCTTTTGACAGCTGTCACTGATAACCCCCCATGTTCCAAGCGCAGCTTGTTGCGCCGTGCAGCTTGCTCACAACTCCGCAAGCGCAACCTGTTTTCATGCAAAGAAGCTTTCAATGCCTCACGACGCTCCGCTGCTGCCATGGCGTGCCTTTGGCCGCGCCCGGCCACAGCTTTTAGCAAGTTTCCATGTGTATATATACCCTTGCCACACTTGCGTAGACATGAAAGTACTATAAAGTACAAGTTAACATCATATATAGATCATGCCTGTGTGTTTTCCTGCGCATTCTTGACACAGCCTCTCATGGACATGACAGAAACCCCTTCGCTAAGAGGGTATAGCCAAATGTCAGCGAAGCAGAATAAAGAATCACGCTTTGTTTTCAGCTACCTCTTCTTTTTACGACCAAAACAGTTGACCCTATAGGGAGCCATGCGTTGTGAACACCTTATTGACTGAAATAAACAAAATTTGCCCAGATTAGTGGTCACACTCTCCCGCCCAGATATTACGGCAAGCATGGCTGGGTCTCCAAAAACTCCTTCCAAGACAAATTGACAAAAGCGGCGAGCGACACACACACACACACACCTGGGGGCCATACTTCGGAAGCCTCAAAGCAGCACAGAAAGCGGTCTCATTTTTTGGCCCGCGCAAATTGACTGACCAGCAATGACATCACGCCTTCAGCAGCATCCTGCGACGAGCAAAGATGGAGCGTATATTGGATTGTCCGGACAATGCGCTTAGTCAACATGGGGTTACAACTCCTGCTGGGCCAATCACAAAAACCGAAAAGGGATGCATCTTCAAGGTAATGGGTGCTTCTCTGCACAACACATGAAGCTTTCTTTTTTGGGCCCGCAAAAGTCTCACGAAAATTCAAAGGCATCGTCCATCATTGCCTCAAGCTCCTCATCACAAGGCCATGGCATGTGAGGTTCCTGCAATGCAGCTGCGCCAGTTGCGACAGAAGCAGGAAGATTTCCATCAGGAGTGTTCTTGCTCGCAGCAGCTGTGCCAGATTCGGCTGAAGCAGGAAGATTTTCACCAGAAAAGCTCGAAGAACAATCCTGGCGCCACTCACACCCACTGAAAACATAACATTGGAAACGCCCATCCAAAGGAGGCAGAAGGTCCCAAAGCACTAGTGCAGACATCTCTTATGAATTCAACCATGTTTGACAACATCGCATTCAAAACAAAACAGGAACATGATTATGCTGTTGGCCTCCTTTGGATGGCCGTTTGTAACGTTCCGTTTTGCAGTTTGTAACGTTCCGTTTTGCATGGGCCAGCCGGTCCTCGGACTTGAACACCTTCTTCGAACACTCCACCCAGACTGTGCGTCTGTCGATGGCACCCTTGTGGTTGGGCGTGAAATATTCCACTGGCCAGAACTGAGCAAGGTCATGGTTTGTGGTGAACACACGCCGTGTCAGCGGGATCGGCACCAACATCAAATCTTCATGGTTATGTCACTTTATAACATTGTGGAGCAGCATCTGAAACACAAAGTTCACCACATATTGCGCCTGCTAAGAAAAACACACAACTAAACTTTCAAATTGGGACCAGAGGTTCACCAAATACCGCACCTGCCACGAAAATGGAATTAGGGGTTTACCAAATACTGCGCCCACTACTGCGCCTGCCACGAAAGATGAAACTAGGGGTTTAACAAATACTTTGTACTACAAAGCTTGCAGGGACGTACTTGCCAGTACTACTTTGTACTACAGAATTTGCAAGAACATACTTCCCAGTACTACTTTGTACTACAAAGCTTGCAGAAACATACTTGCCGGTACTACTTTGTACTACAAAGCTTGCAGGAACGTAATTCCCAGTACTACTTTGTACTACAAAGCTTTCAGAAACGTACTTGCCGGTACTACTTTGTACTTCAAAGCTTGCAGGAACGTACTTGCCAGTATTACTTTGTACTACAAAGCTTGCAGGAACGTACTTGCCAGTACTACTTTGTACTACAGAGCTTGCAGGAACGTACTTCCCAGCACTACTTTGTACTACAAAGCTTGCAGGAAGGTACTTCCCAGTACTACTTTGTACTACAAAGCTTGCAGGAACCTACTTCCCAGTACGACTTTGTACTACAGAGCTTGCAGGAACGTACTTGCCAGTACTAGTTTGTACTTCAAAGCTTGCAGAAACGTACTTTCCAGTACTACTTTGTACTACAAAGCTTGCAGGACCGTACTTCCCAGTACTACTTTGTACTACAAATCTTGCAGGAAATGGGAACACAGGTTCACCAAATACTGCGCCTGCCACGAAAAATGACAATCTGAAGCATCCTGGAATCAGCATGAGATGGCCAGTTCCAATGCGATTTACGATTTGCTAGGAAAGCATGCGCGGCCAAAATCGAAGCACTCCCCGCACGAAAACCAAAATCATAACGTTGGAATCCAACGTTACGATCCGTTTTTGGCGACAGTTTCACACAAAAGTGGAAATCATAACGTTGGAACGCGGTTTAAAATAGAATATAATATTCTTTTTTTGGCCGCATCCAACGTTACGATTTCGACTTTTGTCCCACACCTGCCACGAAAAACAAGCATAACGTTGGAACCCAACGTTACGATTTCGGCGTTTGTGCCACGCCTGCCACGAAAACTCGGACCAGAGGCTCACCAAATACTGCGCCTGCCACGAAAAGAGCAATTAGGGGCTTACCAAATACTGCGCCTGCCACGAAAACTGGGACCAGAGGTTCACCAAATACTGCGCCTGCCACGAAAAATGGAATTAGGGGTTTACCAAATACTGCGCCCACCACGAGAAGTGGGACCAGAGGTTCACCAAATACTGCGCCTGCCACGAGAAATGCATTTGAGGGCTTACCAAATACTGCGCCCACCACGAAAACTGGGACCAGAGGTTCACCAAATACTTCGCCTGCCACGAAAAGTGGAATTAGGGGTTTACCAAAATTGATTGTATGGGTTCCAGACGCTGTTCATATCAAAAAAATTGGTCAATGGCAGGTTTTGATTACAACACATGTTTGCCTGCAATGAAAGCCTAATTGGTGGCAAGCTGGAATCCAAGATTGATTGCAAAATTTCGAACATGAATGAAACCGGGTGCCTTTGTCACACCTACGGCTGATTTTTGCACACATGCACACACCTGACCTCATTCCGTATCTGCTTTGTGGCGGCCTTCAGCTGCTGCTTTAAAACCTGCCTTTCAGCACGCAAGCCAGGCAGCTGATCTGGCACAGCTGCGCGCACTGGCACAGCCGCGCCATCAGGTCTTCCATCTGCACCATTGCCAGCTGCGCTTTCATCATTTGCTGTGTCAGACATGTTGACTGAACTGCGAAGCAGCAATATCTGTGAGTCTGAAAAAGGCTGCGGGAAGGAATGTGTCCGCAAGTCTAATGCCGTCTTGGGACTGCAACATAAATGGGGCTGGTTTGAGAGCCCCAAAAACGGTCACACTTGAAGCTTCAATATGATGGACCCTTGCAGTATATACATATATACACATGTACTAGTATTGGAAGAACATACAGTACATATGATCCACAACACATTACATATTTGACGAGGTGGTGCATGCAATCTGTTCTGTACAACCATCGCAGTCATTGAAAGACTACCTTCAAACTGGCCTTATCTCTTACACCTGGCCGATCTTGTGGAGAGAGTTTTTGTTTCACCATTTTTGAGTGGGAGAGAAGTATAATGAGATGGTGTAGTTGGTATAGTTGGGATGGTTCTCATTATGAGCTGGTCTAGTTGGTTAAAACTTTATCTTTGGAGCCACCTGTTCGCGACACTCCCCAGATCTGGAACTACATCGATGAGAAGAAACTGCCAGTCCAATTCCCAGCTTCGGCCACTGTCCTCCGCGACAGTTGCCACTTGGGTTTGTTCAAGCATTGGGACTTTATGCATACATATGTACATATGAGTATGAGTTAAGACCCTGGCACCCTGATGAACCCAAACATGGCTGGTAAATGGCTGTCAATTAATCCCCCCAAATATATTCCAAATATGGTGTTATATGGTGTTAGAGGTTTGGACCCATGGCCATATCACAAATTTCAGTGGAAACATGATGATCCGCCATGGAATGGTGGTGGGCGGTTTCGTTTCCTCTTGGGAAAAAAAGGGTTTTCGCAACATGTGAAGATAACAGCCATCCACTAAAAATTCCCAAGCTCTGTTTTTTGTGGCTTTTGCCCTGAAATGCCCCTGGCAGCTCCTGGCAGAACGCAGGTCTTTGGCATTTGCTACGGCCTTCAGGACTGCCATGCCACTATTTCCCCCAGAAACACAGATCCCAACGGTTGGACGTAGAGCCACCAGATCCTCAGCCTGAAGGCTGCCATTCTCCCATAGCGGCCATTCCATTTAAGCGTCTTCTGATTTGGTGGAAGTGAACCCAATGTGAACCCAATAGATCCAATAGAGTGGAACTTCACCACGTGGCACGTGGGGCATGGCGTCTGTGTTCGGCCATTGTTGCTCTAAAAACCCCGGGGGGCTGGTAGTGGCTGGTAGCGTCTCAGCAGCAAAAAACTGATTTTGCAGGAGATGTGCCACACACTCAGTGGCAAGGCAGGTATCACACTCGGTGACAGAAACATGGCGCCGTCCAGTGAGTCCAGTGTCTTCCTTAAACCATCCGATGTTTGGGTGCCAAGGCTGAAGAATCAGAATTCAGGTGCCTCTAACATGGAGGTATACCATGGTATACCCAATCTACAGATGCTCTATATATAGAAGGTCTCCATAGCAAAATATCGCAGCCATATCATCCAAAATCGATCCAAGATGTCCTGAAACACGGCAGAGTTGCTTCACCTGTTGAACCCCAACTATCTTTCCATATGAAAAAAACATGGAAAAAAAACATGGAGGTTTCCTAGTTGTCATGTCGGGGTGCCTCCAGTCATCATCCAGCCAGTTCTGGATTTTGACCATCCAGCTGTTGGTGAAAACAGGTGGAGCCAGGTGTCAAGCGCGAGTTTGGCCATGCCGACTTGCTCATCAGGCAGGGTTCGCCAGGAAGCCTTCACAAACAAAGCATGGTGGATTCGTAGAGGATGAAACCACTTCACCTGATGGGGCCCTGTAGGGGCCATAGGGATGTTTAATATTATATGGGGGGATGGGAGTATGATTTTGATGATCTTGAAACATGTTGGGAATGAGGACAATGTTAATGAAACATATTGTATTTCTGGGCACCCCATTTTCAGGCAAAGCATTCAATAGCAGCAGAGACGATCCTGACACTTGGGAGCCAAATGCTGGTTATATGGGTGAGGGGTCAGACCTACAAGGTGGTGGCCCAGTTCGTTAGCTAAGTTGGCTTATGACTCCAATAGCTGTTGGCAGCATGTTGGATATATCGAACTTATTACAAACCACCTACAATATGATATTCTCCATGGGGAAAAATGATGAAACATGTATCTCGATGAGCACCAAGAATTCTCGACTTAGAAGACCTCGCAATGGCGGATGTCCAGTCACTCGGGATCCTCATCCCACTGTTTTTTGATATACCCCAACTGCAACATGTCCGTTATTTCAGATTTTTTCACGAAAGTCTACATTTTTTTTGGGGGGTACTACTATACCTGTTTCATTGACTATATAGAGTAATATTCTTCAGTCATCTTGCAATCAGACTCCTCTCGTGTAGACCCCTGGCCTTGATCCCCACCAAAAATGGATCGGTCACATCCATTCACCATTTCTCCATCCATTTCCCGCAATTACTTCATGATGAGAACAATACATCGGACAGCCGCATTTTTTGGTGGTGCCTCTGGTAAACTAACAGTTTGCGAACTTGAACATGGCCCAGTCGAAATAGTTGATTTTCCTATTAAAAATGGTGGATCTTTCCATGATTTTCCATAGTTTATGTAAACGTTTCCCAGGCCGGGTAGCCCTTTCAAAAGCGTCGAAAAAACCCGCAGCGATCCGATCCAGGGAAGATGTGGCACATCTGAGTGCTGACGGATCCAAGAAGATCAAGGGCCGCAGTCCCATCTTTGAGGCTGGGAATCCCAAGTCACCATGGCTATTTTCGTAAAATGGGTGTGTCTGAAAATGTCGTGTACCCCTAAAGCCAATGGTTTTGCTGATCATTATCCCTATCAAATGGCTATTTCATTGGGAATATACCCTATTTTCAGACAAACCCAAATGGTCATCCATATGGATATACCATCTGGTTATGACTAACAGTTCGCCATGGAAAATCCCCAAAATAAATGGAGGTTTCTAGCTGGGAAAATCATCTATAAATGGGCAAACTGTTAGTCATCACCAGAGTCAAAGGGAATTTCAGGATCCTAAAATGGAGGTACGTTAGTACCATATAAGGCCATATTTTGCTGGGATATTCCCTGAAATTTAGGCCTTATATAGGGTTGGTACCTCCAATTTAGGTTCCTGAAATGGCCATTGACATAACTCGTTTTTTTTTTTTAAGGGGGGTCCCCGTATGACTTAGGACAGCTCCATGTAACATGTAGTCAACTGTAACTTGATGCTATCTATGGCTATCTATGGTACCCTCTGGTAAACGTTTACATAGCTGTTGAAACTGGTGATTTACAATTGATTTACCCAGCTAGAAAATGGTAGATCTTTCCATAGCTATGTAAACGTTTACCAGAGGGTATCACCACCATTTTCCTATGGTTTTCCTATGATTTTCCCATAGAACCACCATTATTCATAGGGTTTCATGCTATCTTTGGCTATCTATGGTACAGATCTTGAGAATGTGCCAAGTTTCTGTGAGGGCATCAGCACAGAGAAAGTCCCGGTCTGGATGAGCCACGGCGACAAGGCAGGGAGAAGCTATGCTGGTGATCAATGCTGATCAATGGTGGTCAACGGTAGTTCATGGTGGTTACCCTCCGGTAAACGTTTACAAAAAACTATGGCAAGATTCACCATTTTCAATGGGTAAATCCACTATTTCTATGGTCATGTTCAATAGCTATGTTGAATTACCAGAGGGTAAATCCCATAAAAAAAATAAATAAATCCCATTAAATCCCATTACCAGAGGGTAACGGTGGTACATGGTGGTTAATGGTGGTTAATGATGACAGTTGATCGTGTTTGGTTATGGTTCGTGCCGGTTCATGGCGAACATTCGGTGACCTCAAGGCGAGCTTTGATGATGTTTTTTGGGGTAAATCTTAGCATGACTGGTTGGTTGGTTAGTATATGGAAAAGCACCATTTTTAATGGGCAAATCCACTATAATATCTGGTTGGTGCTTTGGAACCATGGATCTGTTTTTTTTTATGACTTTCCATTCAGTTGGGAAGAATCATCATCCCAATTGACGAACTCATATTTTTCGGAGGGGTAGGTATACCACCAGATGAATTGTTCATGTTTCAGATTTGGGAAGTAATACAAGATCTTACAAGTTATCGAGATGTCTTGCAGCCCGGCGGAATGTGAGAATGGTATGTGAGAATGGTATGTTTGTTCCAAAAGATGGTTTTCATGGTCTTTGATGAGTCACAAGAAATTGCTGGTCTCTTTTGACAATTAAAGAATAAGAAACAACTTCTATTCAGAAACAAAACTCGAAAAACCTAAATCCATATCCCATTAAATCACCAGGAAAAAAACACCCACTATCATATTCCATATAGTATAGCCGTATAGCCTATCCATATCCCATCCATATCACTGCAGAATCCCATGACATCTCCCCAGTTGCCAAGTCAGTTGCTGTCCAGGTCACACAGCTGCCTCCTGGTTTCACTTCAATTGCTTACACCTCCAACACCGAATTTGCCGCCGTGGAAGATCAGGACGGGAGAGCGCCATAGAGCACCAAACCACGAGGAAATGGAGGTCTGAAGAATGGCAAGTTAAGCCACAAAGAAATGCTACAAAGTTGGGATCTATATTATAATCATTTATAATACATTATATCTATAGTCATCAAAAAACGGTCAACAGCGGTGAAAAAAAACATGTTCATGGGGAAAATGATGATCAAATATGACAGAGACACTTCCAGTACTCTATTTTTCAAGCAAATTCAGATTGGGTTCGGGTCAAGTTTCATTGACATTTCCCAGATACTCCATGTATGTAATATATTTGCCTACATTTACCCAAAAAATGGCTCAAATGTCAAATGTAGGTAAATATTCCATACATGGAGCATCTGGCTTTGTGTATCAAAAAGGATCAAAATGCCATGTATCGACATGACATCTGGATCAGCTACGATCGGCCCATGACTGTGACCGTAGCAGCCGCAGGCACGTCACATCTATGGTGTGCAGTTTCATCCAGAGGTGCCGAGCTGCAGTGGAGTTCCATGAGATGTGGAAACCCATGGAAAGCCGATGGAAATCCTGGTGATTTGGAGAAAAAACGGTAAAAACCATGGTAAAAAACACCATGGTGTGCTCTTTTCTTATGTTCGGAAAGTCTATCCGTATAGCTCCGCAGGGCTTTCCATTTTTGGGTGGTTAATATGTGAGAATATGTGGGAATACCCGTAGGTCCCAAACTGCTTCTGCATAACCACTGGATAGTACTCTCATCATCAACTAACCATCATTTATCAATCATTATTCCTATAGTTATCATGGTTAAACAGTTAAAGCCATTAAAAGCCGTTATATAAAAGCCATTGAAACCCATGAAAAGCCAGTATATAATCCATTAAAAGCCATTAAAACCAATTGAAACCCATGTGCACAGCCATGGAAAGGGCGCAAAGGATTTGGCCCCATAAAGTTTTTGGGGAATGGGTCATTTTGTTGAGCAGATGTAGGTAAAAAACAAAATAACTAGTAACACAACTAGTGATACATATACACAATGATACACATATGACATATACCAACTATATCCAAATATCAATAACTATCATATACATATGTATATGTATATATATATATATATATATTATTATTATTAGGACCATATATGGACCATGCCATATCAATTCCAATTTCATCCCTGCCATGGATTTGGTGTTTTTTCGTAACTCTTCAGGTGACCCACACGCCCAGTGGAGCCACCATGATCAAAAACTTCGTGCTGAAGGTGGTAGGCTGTCGTGATGCCCAGAGGCGGATGCGGTGAAGTTGGCGACCCAAAGGGGTCTCCAAATCACGGTTATAATAATGGTTAGTCATGGTTAGTACTGGTTAGTCATGGTTAGTCATGGTTAGTACTGGTTAGTCATGGTTAGTCATGGTTAGTCATGGTTAGTAATGGTTAGTAATGGTTAGTAATGGTTAATAATGGTTAATAATGGTTAGTAATGGTTAGTCATGGTTATAATTTATAATAATGGTTCATGATGGTTAATAAATGGGGCTTAGCTATGTTAAAAAAACAAAGGGTAAGTTAAACCATCCAGATTATATCTCCACTAAACCACCATTGGTCCATAATAATCTGGTTGGTGGTTTGGAACTTGAATTTTATGACTTTCCATATATTGGGAATAATCATCCCAACTGACTTTCATATTTTTCAGATGGGTAGGTATACCACCAATCAGTATTGGTTAATTAATGGTGACAGTGACAATGGGAATAATAATGGTTAATTATGCTTGATCATAGTTAATTATTGTTTGACAATGGTTGATAATGGATATAATAGATATCATATTGGAGGTTTCCTTAGTCACGTGGGTACCCCAGTTTACCAGTTTCAATACTGAAATGGTCCTGTCAATCTTGGATGATTTGGGGTACCAAAACCCATTCGAAACCTCCAAATAGAGGATGATCATCGGCTCTGGCTATTGAAAATGGCCCAGTCGTTAAATAGTGAGTTTTCCCATGAAAAATGGTGATTTTCCATAGTTTTTTGTTAACGTTTACCAGGCCGGGTAACTATTCTCTACTTTAGCCGGTGTTGATGAAGGATACCCAAGCCATGATCTGAGGCAAGGGTGAGTGGAACATGCATGACTTCTGCCAGAAGCAAATTGCCAGCTCCTCAGCAAGGGATGTGGTTTGTGTGATGGAAATCTAAGGTTATCAACGAAAATTCGTGAAGAGGCTTAACCACCATAGACCAGGGCTTATCAACTGAACCGCCTGTTGGGGGAGTATCATGAGGGGAGGGTAGCCTTAAACCTCCCTGAGATTGCTGGAGAGTGACCAATGACTTGCTGAGGATATCATCATGAACAAATTGGAGGACGAAAGCGGAGACGAGTTCGGTGCCGATTTTTCGTTTGGGCAACTGGTGGTTGACGTGGGAGTGGTATGGAGTGGTACGATGTAGGAAGATTTTAGAGTTTTTGCTCAAGCACCATAAAAACCCTCTCTGGTTGGTGGTTTCAAACATTTTTCATGTTCCATAATATATGGGACAATCCTTCCCATTGACTAATATTTTTCAAGATGGTTATTGCACCACCAACCAGCCAAAAAACCCTCTGGTAAACGAACATAACTATGGGAAATCACCACTGCCAATATAGGAAACTCATGGACAGTCTATGAATGGACCATGTTCAATAGCAAACTGTTATTTACCGGGTAATATCACAAACAAAAAGGGGATGAACATTCATGTACCAGCTATCTTGTAGGTTTCACCAAAGCATTAGGGTCTTAATTTATCCATGTTCGTTTGGCTGATAGCTGAAGAAATGTGTTTTCTTTCCGGGAATAGTACCCTCTGGTAATGACTAACATAGCTATTAAAGTGGTGATTGTCCATAGTTATGTTAGTTGAGGGTACACCACTTTTCTCAACGGGGTTGAAACGATCTACCAGGCACACCGGCTAGCGGCTAGATCAACACGGGGCACTTGCCGCTTGTTGTGGCATGTTGTGAAGCCATCAAAACGGACTGCGAAGACCATGAAATCATCGATGAATTACAGCGACCTCGTATCTTCGTCACCATAATAATGTTGGTGAATGTAAGGGAATACATCCCAAATACATCCCAAATAATGATAATAAGGCCTTTATTGCAGGTTTGTGAATTAATTGTTACCATTTATCCAGATGGTTTGGGGGCATCCACTATTTTCGACATACCCCGCTCTGGCTGGATGATGGGAACATCGAAACCGGAACCCCCTGGATAGAAATCATCGTAGAAATCCATGGTTTCCCATAGGTAGTCCCATAGGAAGATCCGTGAGCCAATCCATTGATCCATGGATTTCCATTAAGAAACGATTGATTTGCGAGCCAATCCCAATTATTCACCATTTTTGAGACCAAGAATCACTTTCTGATTGGTGGTTTGAAACATTTTTTTAATGTTTCCATTATATTGGGAATGTCATCATCCCAACTGACGAACTCACTCCATCATTTTTCAGAGGGCTAGGTGGCTCAACCACCAACCAGCAATCCATGGTGTTTCCCAACAAACGGCCGTCGTTTGCGCCGCCTGAAGTCAGGACAAATATGTGGTGGGTGCCGTGAGCGGAGGTGTTGACTCCAGCGTCGCTGCCGCGCCTTGGCCTTGACTCAACGCGGGCGATGGTATAGCCATGGGTGGATGGGTGGCCTTTACATTCTGATGGTCATTCCAGGATACTAAATTTAGAAGTACCATATATATATATATATACATAAGGCCATATTTTGGGGGGATATTCCCTGAAATTTAGGCCTTACATAAAACTTATATATGGAATCGGTACCTCCAATGAATCGGAACCTGACATGGCCAGTACATTCTGGGGCTATGATCCATCAAGGTTTGGTACGATGTTTTCCCAGCTCTCCCTGAGGATTTCTCGCCAAGTTGATTCACGTGGTGATTTCGGTTCCAGTGAATTCGATGGTTGATTGGGATTGATTAGGGGGATGATATAACTATTATGTATGTCTTGACATGCACTTTCCGGTGCTTCACCAAATTCGGGTCAAGCGTATGGACAGGACTCTAACCGTAGGAGCAGCCTCCGGTTCTTTGTCAGCCATAGGGTTTCGCCTGATTTCCGAGCTGCTTCGTTCTGAACCCACACTGGTGATTCCAGACTGCCCTCTGTGCCCCAGCTGCCCTGACCTACCTGAACTGCCTTCGCTTGAACAGGTGAATTTCTACTCTGTGGTGCTCGGCGTCTTGATTGGGATCAGCATTGGCCCTGTCCTGGACCTTTTGTACCTGGCTAGGCAGTCCTGGCGTGTGTGGCTCCGAACCAGACTCAGCGAACTTGCTGCCCGGAACTCTGAGGCTTTATACCGGCTTGCATGAGCAGGGCGACTGCAAGTGACGCTCGTGTTGATCAGCTGGCTGAGGATCTTGCTTCTCTCTCTCTGGAGGTGCAGCGCCTCCGCCAACGGGTGGCTGAGCTGGAAGGTCAGTTGCCTGGGAACTCGGCTCGTTCTTCCAGTGATTTTTCTTTGGTTGAACCCCCAAGTGTAGCCCCTGAAACCAGTCGAGCGGCTGGATATTGTGTTGGGTCTGAGAGGGAGCAAATTGCTCGCGATATCGGGCTTTGGTTGCGAAGGGCCCTGGACGGACGTCCTCGAGGACCTTCTGGCAGAGATCGCATTCAACTCTCCTCCCGATTCTACGTGGTGTGTCGCGACATCCACGGCGCTGTGCACGATCCACCTTTGCTGTTCTCATCTTGGAGGCTAGCGAAGGAGAGCTGCTTTCGCCAAGGAGAACCTGGTGACGCGATCTTTGTGGGCTTACCCTCCAAGACCGAGATTGAGATTGCCCTGCGTGCTGCTGCTCTTCCATTGCCTGCTGCCCTAGGGCAACAGCAATGAGCCGTGGTGCAAGTGACTTTGAGGGAGCCGAGGGGGAGCCTGAGACCCTTGGCCTTCGAAACAATTTTGTTCTCTCAGGTGATTCAGTCAATTCGGACTACAAGGTGGGCGTTTTGAACATCTCTGACCCGCCTGGGTCCTTCAGCTGCATTGCCGTGTGCCTGTGTGACAACAAAGTCTTGGTAGCCGTGCCAGACGGAGCTTGGGCCAGGTTGAAACGTGATCGTGCCCTGCCGCAGAGCGCGTTGAAGAAGGCTGTGCGTGTAGAAGTACAACCATGTTCTCCTGGCGATCGAGCCACCCCCGCTGGACCTGCTTCTCTGCCCATTTGGCTAGGTCTTCTTTCTCCTCCGCTCGAAGAAGCTGTGGACTATGCAGAAGACGTCGAACCAGCCGAGGTGGACTTTCCAGCAAGAGACGATGGCACACAACTTTTGCCCCTGGCTACAGCTCTGGTGGCTGTGTCACGCGATCACTTCGCCTTCATGACTGCCGAGTCCGAGGTGCCCAAGCCAGCCAGTGGAGTTTTAGAAGGACGTATGGACAAGATGGAGGAAAGCATCAATCAGCTGATCGCCCTTGTGAGCGACCTTCGAAAGCCTGCTCCGGCGGCCCCTGCTGCTCCTCCCGGCTTGCCTCATCCCCAAAAGTCAGCGGCGCCAGACCAGCGTGCCAGACAAGCTCTAGCAGCCGGGGTAGACCCTGCTGCTTTGGGAGAATTGCGGGGCATGCTCGGCCTACCAGAGCCTCCGGTCAGCCGGAGACCTTTAGAGCCAAAAGGTGCTGTCAATGTAGAGTCTTCAGAAGAGGAAGCGGAGGAGGCAGATCTAGCAGAAGATGGCTCGGCAGGAGTGCTGGGCAAGGCTGTAGTCAGCTTGACCAAGATAGTCAAAGACATACACAAGGAGAAGAAGAAGGCCAAAGATCGTGGGCTCGAAAGCATCTTGGACCAAGCCGAAGGAAGTGGTTCTCATCGAGATGCTGGCGGAGCTTCCAGGAGCAAAGCAGCAGCCCTTCGTTCTCTTCAACAACTGCTGGTGTCAGACCCGGCCCTCATTTACCAAGCCATCGAGAAGAACCTGCAGGCCGACTGGGAACTCAGTGGCAGCACTCCTGGCATGAACGTCAGCCAGATCAGTGTTCGTGGATGGATCGAACATCGCTCTCGGATCCAAAATTATCCGAGCAGCGTCCGTCCTGCCTGGATTCTAGGCGGTGTGTGGGACTGCTTGCGAAATGGGAGGGCAGAAGAAGCTCGAGCTCGAGCAGCGCTGGGGGTCGCTATGCTGGACCAACAAAAAAAAGCTGCGATCGAGGAGCCTGGTTGTTGGCTGCAGAGGCCTCACTCGAGGCGCCTCCGCCTTACAGCAGCTTCAACGGCCACACTGCGCCCGAGGCCAGCGAGTTGCAACACTCCAGGCTTCTCGATCCGCGCTGGGTGGAGCTCTTCCTGGCCAAGCTCAAGGATCTGGCGGAGTACCAGGAGAAGAGGTCCAAGCTGATCACAAAGCAGAAATCGCCGGAGCAACCTGGCCCGAAGGCCGATCCCAAGCCGAAAGAGAAAGGTGGTGGCAAGGGAAAGACAAAGGGAAAGAAGGAGAACCCGGAGGAGAAGACCGGGCAAGGGGCCGCAGAGGCCTAAGAGCTATGACTGTCAAGGCTGGGATGGATGGCCGCCGAAGTGCGGCCCCAGCTTTCAAGACAGGAGATCGTCCAGTACGTGATGTACCCGGAGCTAATGCACCGTCTTCAGACATTTTGAAGATCTGGAACGTTATGTTGAGATGGCTGCTGACGACTTCGTCAGCTTTTGCCAAGTTTTTGCATTCTTTGAGGAGCCTTACGCTGCCTGCAGAGGGTAGTACAGCCAACACTTTGTGGCCGATGCCATTGCCTTACCCTGCTTTGTTTGAGGGCCCTGCGGCCGACCCAGCACAGCTGCCTTTTCCTATTCGAGCCCTTCACAAGGCGTTGAACTTAATGGTGGCAGCGCTTTCTTGGCTTCACATGGGTCGACCGCGAGTCGCCCCGGCTGCTATGGCTTTGTTTCGGCCGTTGAGCTCTCAGCAGAGAGGTGTGGTCCGCAGATTGGAGCGGCTGGCATCCGAAGTGCATCATGCTAAAGTGGTAAAACCTCCTGACATGGGGAGGAATGCTGCAAAGGTGGAAGGCTTGGATGAGCTGCTGCGAGGGCTACATGAGGCGGCAGCTTTTTTGCCTCAGGGACCCTACCAGCCTGCTTTGAGGAAAGCATGTCCTTTTGATGGTCCTCTTCAAGCTGGGCATGCGTTGGGCGATCCTGGGGAAGAGCTGGGGCGTGTATCTTGCCCGAAGCCTGTGTCGGCCAAGCCAGTGAATGCTAGTCGACTTTCTTTCCCGGAAGATCGCCCTGAATTTGAGCCGGCGACACTTTTTCCTGAACCTCAGCGCGCAGTGTTTGAGGACCCGGTGAGTTTGGCCAGAGCTCCTAGGGAGGGCGATGAACCTCCCCCTCAAGTTCGGCTTCAAGCCTCGCACCACGAAGCTCTAGCTCTTTTTGAATTCCTGGATCGTCATCACCGACTGCATTTGGCCCCTGCATCGCAGATCAGAAAAGACCGCACTTGTGGGGCTTTTGCTTTGCTCAAAGATGCCGAGAAAGACCGTTTGATTATTGATGCTAGGGCCGCAAACGAGCTGGAAGAAACTCACCGAACTTTTTGTCAAACGTTGGGAGCTGTGTCAGCACTTCTTCAGATTGAGTTGCCTGAAGGAAAGAATTTACTTTTGAGTGGCACTGACCTTCGTGACTATTACTACTGTTTTAAGGTGAGCAAGCAGAGAGCTCGTAGGAATGCTTTTCGTTTTCCACTCACTCGTGCTCAAGCGGCAGCTTTCAGATGTTTTGCAGAGGTTGACAATGGAGAGCAACACTGGTATCCCTGTCTGAACACCATGGCCATGGGGGACAATAATGCTGTTGAACTAGGACAAGGAGCTCATGTACTTCTAGGACTCAGAGCTGGCATTTTTTCCCCTGAAGAGCTTTTGACCATCCACAGTCGTGCGCCTCGAGGTCCACTGGCCTGCGGCATCATCATAGATGATATTCTTTTTGCTGAGCAAGTAGATAACCATGCAGTTCCCTCCGGCGCCATGACCGAAGGCGAGCTGCGGCTGCTGCGCATGTGCGAAGAATATCTTCGTGAGGGCCTGACGGCTCACCCGAGGAAGACCTTCAGGCGAGAGGGGCAAGCAGAAATCTGGGGGGCCTCGGTAGATGGCATTGCTGGAACAGTGCGGGCCGCCCCAAAGCGGCTCATCCCTTTGATGGAGCTCACCATCAAGACCATCAGAGGACGAGTAGCCACAGTGGGGTTGCTGGAAGTTTTAGCCGGCGCTTGGGTCTCTATTCTCCAATGTCGCAAGCGTATGATGTGCCTTCTAGATGAAGTTTACCAAGCTCAACATGGGCGCTCTTCAGACACCCTGGTGCGCCTCTCGGGCCCCCTGGTTGATGAGTTATGGATGGTTGTGATTTTGGGACCCCTCGCTGTGACAGACCTTCGTGCCAAGACGGTCCCGCAAGTGTTTCTTTCAGATGCCTCTGAAGAGTTCAAGGCGGCTGTGCAGTGTGAGATTAGCGAGGTGTTTGCACGAGAGCTGCATCGCCACGCCCTAGCTCGGGGTACCTGGAACAAACTCCTCACGCCATGGAAAGTATGGTGTAAGATGCATGGCCACCTGTTTGCGGAAGATGAACTTCCTGACGGGATCCCGATGGTTAGCCATCCAGTTTGGGTGGCTCTGGCTCAATGTTTGCAATTCAAGCTGCTGCGCCGAAAGGAGGTCAGAACTCGGCGCCACATCAACATCTTGGAGCTGGAGTCTGTGTTGGAAGTGGAAGAGAGCCTTGCCCGGCGCTGCACCGACGTGCGATACTTGTTGGGTTCGGACAGTCAAGTCACCCTAGCTGCCTTGTTGAAGGGGAGGTCTAGTTCTCCACGTCTCAACCGGGCTTTGCAGAAGAGCCTTGCTATGCTGCTGGGTTCGGGGTTGTATGGATCTTATGGGTATGTCCCTTCCTTGAGCAATGTTGGTGATGATCCGACGAGACATGCAGCCATCCGCGCTCCTGCCAGGTCTGTGCCTTCCTGGCTTGCAAGTGCGCTCCTGGGAGACTTCAGCGAGATGGATAGCTGGCTTGCTGAGCTGGGCTACTCGCCTACGGTGGTGGCCGGACTGGGTTTTCTGACTGGTGAAGATGAGTGCGAGGTAGCTTTAGCTGAACATGTAGCTGAATTAAGACGTGTACAGAAGCCGGATAGGATGAAGAAGTTTTTCGAAGCCCAGCAGAAAACGGCTCCAAAGGAGTCTGAAGCTTTAGAGGACCGTCTCACCCCGTCATTTTGTACAGAGGAATTCGGTAGGGTAGCATCTAGTAGCCATTTTGGTAGCAGCCCTTGCAGTAATTCGGATACTGTAGACTTAGCCGTAGCTCCTTTGCCTGATGCGCTTTGTACAGCTAGGAAAGCGTCATCAGCTGACTCAGAAAAGAAACTGATAAGAGGGCAACAAGAGCCATGTGAAGGCCACTCAAAAACTGGTAACAAGAGGCCACAAGATCTCAATGAGACAGCACCCACAAGTGGTGAAGAGAGGCCCACAGCTGTTGGTTCAGGTGATGAGCGGGTAGCCCCTCCCGCAGGTGTAGGAGGTTTAGGAGTAGGTATTGACACCTGCTCTTGTGAGCTCCCCGGGCGCGGTCATAGGTCTAAAGCCATGACAGAGAACTTGCGTTCTCCGCTGCTGAGCAATGCTGCACAAGCGGCCCTCCCCGGGCGCGGTCATAGGTCTAAAGCCATGACAGAGAACTTGCGTTCTCCGCTGCTGAGCAATGCTGCACAAGCGGCCCTGCAAGAGCTGCCTTACCAGATGTTTCTGCTCCCCGGTGGTCGAAGAGCGAGATGTGCTGCTGACGTCGCTGGTCTTTGCAGGCGTGGTGTTTTAGATCTGTATAGTGGAGCTGCAGGAGTAGCAAAACAACTTGCCAAACGGTTCAACATCTGGGTGGTCACAGTTGATTTTGAACATGGATCCGAGCAGGATCTCTTAGACCTAAAACTACAAGAACGACTGTGTCAGCTGTTAGCACTGGAAGTCTTTTTGGGGCTCGGCGCGGCGCCTGAATGCTGCTCCTTTTCCAGAGCGGTGACTCCGGCAGTACGGAGTAGTGCAGAGCCGTGGGGTCTACTTGCATCCACTTAAGCGTATTACGGTATTACAAAAAAAATTGGGGCTTTGGAGATATTTTCTCGTTTTGGTTTTTCAAAATTAAGCTATTTTCAGAACTCGTCGCTTTGTATTTTCAGACTTTGTTACAAAAACCTTCATGACTTCTAAAACCATGCCACATGCGTTCTACTAGAATTCTCAGCTCAATTTTCCTTAGTTGTGGTATATGACACATTTTTCTTCTGACACACTTATTGTGGGACAGCTTTTCTGTTCTCTGCCTGGCGACGTCCGCAGAAGGAAATTTCTCGTATAGACGCCCGGCTAGATATTTTAACAAGTGTCATGACTATTTTCTTTTCTCGTTTTCTTTTGGCTCAATGGTTAAGATGCGCCGCTCCATTGTGGCTGTTTCGGCCGCGGTACTGGCTGGCTCGGCCATTTTAGTGGCTGCTTCGGCCACGGTAGCAATGTCAAGCTTGGAAACCGGGGCCAAATTCAGATGGCGTAGTTCGGGCAAAAAATGGTGTAACATGTTCCTCGTCTCAGATGGCCAGCCAGAGCTAGGGTCATGGTTGGATGTGAAGCAGCAACCTTGGGGTGTTGGTTGTAAAGTGTGCAAGGAAACTCGGGTTTCCAATCCTTTCGCTTCTTATTCAATGACCAAGAAGGGCCAACTGCAGAACTGCAATTTGATGAAGCACCATAAAAGCAAGGCGCACAAGGCAGCGGTGAAGGAATGGTTGAAGGAAGGGGGCTGTGTTGGTCCTAGTCCCGATGCAGCCCTGGCATTGAGTCAGTTTCAAGAGCTGATGGAGTGCTTTGGCGAGAAAAGATCATTGACGCAAAAAGAGCTGCAAATGGCATGGTGTTTGGCAGAGGGGTTAAAAGCTTTGGACCAAACGTTCATTGCGAAATCTTCTCACATTTCTTTGATGCGGGATGAGCGGCATGTGCGGTTGGCCATACGATTCATGGCTGTGGCCCCAGACTTGACAACTCGAAGTGGCTTTTTAGGCCAAGCAAGGCAAGCTGGAACAGGAGCTGCCAATGTCTCCTTAGCCACATGGGCAGTCATGAAGCGTGCTTGCTCTAGATTTTATATGGCTCCTCTTAGTCAGAATCCTGGGCGTTTGAAGAAAAATCTTTTTAAACACCTGCGGTCAAGAGTTGTGGCACTCGCTGCTGATGCAGCAGCAGATGAAATGGCAAGCTGTGAAATATTAAGGTCAGCACACTTGAGTTTGAATACAGAAGACAATCAGCCAATGCTGCCAAACTTGAGGTCAGAAGTGGACAATCGATTGAGGGTTGGACACTGCTCAGGAGCCACCTGGGTATTTCAACTCACCCAAGCTGCTGCGGCCGAGGCTTGAGATTAAGGGCGTAGTCAGGCTGCTTCGGCCTGCTCGTTGCCAGGCTGCTTCGGCCTGCCCGAAACTTTTTTTTTGAAAAAAGTGGTTGCTTCAGGCTTCAGCCACAGAAGCTTGGCTGCTTCGGCCAAATCGCCTGGCTGTTTCGGCCAGCAAGGGTTTCGAGAAGACAGACTGTCTCTTAGAAAATAGTGGCTGCTGTGGCCTTCTTGGGACCAGGTTGTGGAAGAGACTTTGAAACCACCAAAGAGTATTTGAATCCAAAAAGGGGAAAATATGTAACATGTTTACTGTTTACTATTCAAATGTCCTTTAACCTGGTAAGGGGGATATTTTCTTTTTTATGTCATAAGGGATTTTGACATATGTTTAAAAATCATCTTAAGAATTACAGGGATGTCACCTCTTAAGACTATAAGACCCTAATTCGGGGACATCCCCTAACCTCCTACTAAGACTTCTAAATTTATTTATTTTCACATCAGGCACTTAATGAAGTTATAAGTATATTATAAGTTGCTATTATCTTGCTAATATCTTGTTTAAATTGTTTATTTTTATTTTTTTTGTTTTAAGTTCCACTAATCGTTTAGGTGAACTTGTAACATAATAATGAACATATAAGTAAATATAGTGGAATATTATTCAAAAATAAGTTGAAATAAGGGAAAAGAAGCGAAAATAAGTAAAAATATGTTTTTTGTCAGTTTTCAACATTGATGGACATGGATGTCGATTACCACGGAGCAATTTTGGCTTCAAAGGGAAGGGCATTGGAATTTTTATAACGAAAAAATTATCTGGAATATATAATGTTTCCTGTAAGGAGTAGTTCCTGGAAAGTTAGTATCCCTTTTTTCTCTGAAAAGATGACCTCCTGTAATGTATACTTCCTGGGCAGGCAAAAATATGAGCAGTATAATGTTCATGAAAAGCAGTTCTTTCACAAATAAAAAAACTCAGTATGATATTTCACCAGAAAAAAAATGTAGCTTCTTGAGCTTTACGTTTTCCAGGGATTCGCATTTGAAGTTGTTGACAGTCAAATTCTTTAAATTTCTCAAACATTACGATATATTCTAATAGAAAATTTCAGATCAACTCAGTTGAAACTATGCAGAAAAAATATTATAAAATATAAAAATATTGCAAATATATATATATATAAATTAAGTTTGAGACATTCAGAGTAATAAGAAATCTGAGAAACAATACACACCACTCAAAAAAAGATTGTAATAGAAATAAATGGAGAAAAGTAACTTACTGAGAAAATTTATAATGCTTAAGCATACAGAAGGTAACAAATTTATTATTTTTAATGTATATATGTCAGAAAATTTTGAAAATGAGAAAATGTAGAAAATGAAGAAAATATTGAAAATGTTGAAAAGTCGGAAAAAACAAAAAAATCAGAAAATTTAGAAAATTTTAAAAATTCAGAAGAGTCAGAAAATTAAAAAAAATCTAAAATTCAGAAGATTCAGAAAATTCAGAAAATTCAGAAAATTTAGAAAAAAAAACAGAAAATTCAGAAAATTCAGAAAATTCAAAAATTTCAGAAAATTCAGAAAACTCAGAAAATTCACAAAATTCAGAAACCCAGAAAATTCAGAAAATTCAGAAAAGTCAGAAAATTCAGAAAATTCAGAAAATTCAGAAACCCAGAAAATTCAGAAAATTCAGAATTTACAATTTAAATTAAAAGGAAAACAATTCAGAAAATTCAGAAAATTCCCAGAAAATTCAGAAAATTCAGAAAATTCAGAAAATTCAGGAAATTCAGAAAATTCAGAAAATTCAGAAAATTCAGAAAATTCAGAAAATTTGAAAATTCAGAAAATTCAGAAAATTCAGAAAATTAAAAAAAAACAAAAAAAATATGAAAATTCTGAAATTCAGAAAATTCAAAAATTTCAGAAAATCCAGAGAATTTAGGAAATTTAGATAATTCGAAAAAATCGCAATATTCAGAAATATATATATATATATACATAGATATATAAAATTTAGAAAATTTAGAAAGTTCCAAAAAAATAGAACATTCCGAAAATGCAGATAATTTTTAGAAAATTATGAAAATGTGAAAAATATGAAAATCAATGACCAAAATGTATATAAAAATATAAATTTAGAAAAATAGTAAAATATGAACATTTTTATAACATTTTCAATAAAGATAAAGTTTTAAAACTATAGAAAGTAAGAAAGTGAGTAATTTCCAGCTTGTGACAAAACAAGGAAAAGTGACCAAATATTATCTGAATGGAAAAAGGTCTTCGAAAAGACATTTCCTGTAAAGGATAATTCCTGGAAAGGAAAATTCCTGAAAAAGGATTCAATCTGAATTGAAAAAATCCTGATAAGGATAACTCCTGAAAAGGATTCATTCTGAAAAGAATAATTCCTGAAAAGGATAGTTCCTGAAAAGAGATGATGCCTGAAAAGGAAACTTCCTGTAAAAGATACATTTAACAGGACAAGGAAGATCTTGCATCGGAACCATGAAAATATCCAAACAAAAAAAAGAAAACGCAACATTCTTATATATTTTTTAATTCAAAGATGTTTTACAAAACCCTATGACAGAAACATCTTTCGTCTTTTATCAATTTTTAACAGTAAAAAATAATGAAAAATTAACCTAAATTAAGTGAAAATAAGTGAAAATAAGTAAAAATGACTTCTATGATAAGTTAAGATAACTACTAATATTTTCATTAAGTGCCTGATGTGAAAATAAATAAATTTAGAAGTCTTAGTAAGACTCTAATTCGGGGACGTCCCCTAACCTCCTAAGGGGTAATTCGGGGACATCCCCTAACCTCCTAAGACTCTAATTCGGGGACGTCCCCTAACCTCCTAAGAGGTAATTCGGGGACATCCCTTAACCTCCTAAGACTCTAATTCGGGGACGTCCCCTAACCTCCTAAGGGGTAATTCGGGGACATCCCTTAACCTCCTAAGACTCTAATTCGGGGACGTCCCCTAACCTCCTAAGGGATATAATCAAAAACCCTATCCTATGGAGAGGGCGATTTGCCCTCTCCAACCGAAGGTCGGGGACGTCCCCTAGCTGTGTAAGGAGAGGACGAATAGAGGACGAATGTGTAATACTACTAAGTGTTTCGGTTTTACAAGCTGTTGTCCTCTGTTTGTCCTCTCCAACCGAGCATCGGGGACGTCCCCTACCTGTGTAAGGAGAGGACGAAATGACCTCTCCTTACACAGCATGTTTAACCAAAAACCTGCTGTGTAAGGAGAGGTCGTCACAGGTCGTCATGTTGCCTGAGCTTGGCTGTTTCGGCCACCCTGGCTGCCTTGGGCCTTCGTCAGTGAGCTGTGTAAGAAGAGGGCTGTGAGAGGACTATTGAATAAAATTCCTTAGGGCAAAACAACCTTTTTCGAATAGTCCTCTCACAGCCCTCTCCTTACACACTTCGCTGCTGTCAGTCTAAGGAGAGAACTATTAGTCCCCTCCTTAGAAGCCTCACTCAAGTCGTTTCTCGTTGTTTTCGGCTCACAAGCTTTTCCGTGTGTAAAAGCTGTTTCGGCTTAAACCGTGAAACGTTCCAGGCTGCCTCGGCCTGCAATCACAGGCTGTTTCGGCCTGGAATATAACCTCACAGACTGGTTCGGTCTTGGAGCCAGTTTGCTACCACAGTCCTATGAGCTCTGCGACGAGTCGATCCACGACTTTTCGCGAAGATCATTATCGATCTGACACCTCTGGACGGCCGCATGGCTTGGGCAGCCTTGCGAAATCGGGTATAGGGTATGTAGGAGTTGCCTTCAACCCAGAGCACCACCCCTGAGTCCAGCTTGTTTTCGTCAGCTTACAGTGAAGCCGTCGGTGGCAGTGGGCAGGCACCTGTGAATCAGACCGCAAAACCAAAGGCAAAGGTAAAGGCAAAGGCCAAAGGCAAGGGAAAGGCCAAACCAAAGGCTAAGGCAAAAGCCAAAGCCAAGCAAACAAAGGATGAGCAGGAGGAAGGCGAAGAGGAAAACGACGAAGATGAAGAAGACGACGTCTGGAATCCTTTGGGAGACGACGACGATGACGACGAAGAGGACAATGGAGACAAGTGATGTGGCTGCCTCGGCCATAGACGAGACGACGTGGCTGCATCGGCCATACCACGGTTGCATCGGCCGTGTGGCTGCCTCGGCCATAGGCGACGATGTGGCTGCGACATAGGCACTTCGGACCTATAGGCAGTTTTGATTGTGCCTTCCATGCGGGATCGAAAAAAAAGCTGCTTTTAATTTCCCACAAACATGACAGGTTGAAAGGTAAAAGTGTCGACTCTCTTAGGGGGATGTCCTGTTGTCAGTCGGTTTGTCTCATGTTTGCTGTACATGTTCTGAAACATAATCATTTGCGGTTTCTCGCACATTTAGGCTCTAGGCTTAAACTACATATGACCGTTTCCATGCTGATGATGATGCCGCCGCCCGAACTTCCACGATGACGTGGCAACCCCAGTGTAGTCACTAAGCCTGATGCCAAAGTCATCCAAAGGGATCTTCTCAAAAGGTTCCATGTGGAAAAGCTGTACCAGAAGTACAGGCTGCTTCAGACCAGCACATGGCCATCGGAAAGCAAGCTTGCTTCCACTATGCGGATCGAAATTGTGAGAAGAAAAGGGGTTAAGTGGATGAATGAAAAAGAAAAAACAAAGTGATGAGAAGTAGCATTTTGACTGCATCGGCCAAGCTATGGCTGCTTCGGCCAAGCTATGGCTGCTTCGGCCAAGCTATGGCTGCTTCGGCCAAGCTATGGCTGCTTCAGCACATGGCTGCTTCAGCCTATTCGAGTCTAATTCATATGATTTCAAAATCTATGGGAACCCATCTTTAATTCACCTGTTTGTGGCTTGCACAAACCAAACTTGCTGTAGATATTTGGAATCCTCGTTTGCCCAAGAGAAAAAATGCGTGGACCGATGATTGAAGCTATTTTCTTGTTGTTGGAAGACATGACATTGTCACTGCCGGCACACACATGCATTAAAATTTGAGCACACGCAATCTGATATTTCACCCATGGAGACATTAGCACTCCTTTTGGTTTATATGCTTCCTTCTCCTTCATTCCTTTTACAAACACTTTCTTAAAAGAAGCTGTCTACTCCACTTTTTTATTTTTATTTCTCGTTTCAGTAACTTTCTCGTGTAAGTAACTTTCTCGTGTAAGGGCAATTTTTTTTTGTAATACCGTAATGCCGCTAAGTGGATGCAAGTCTACCAGGGATAAGTTTCAACATGCAGAAGAAGGTTGAGATTGGGAACCGCCATGCAGCTTTTGTGCTCCGGGTGGTCCTCATAGCTCTCAAGCTAGGTATTGCCTACTGGTTGGAAAACCCAGATGGGTCCTTTCTCTGGCTCCTCCCTGATTGGTTGGCTGCGGGCATCACCTTGGCAGAGCGGGCTTTCCGCTTCGACCAATGCCGCTACAAGACTCCGTGGAGAAAGCGCACTCGCATCCTGACCAACACATGCCTGGCGGACATGCAATGCTTGTGTGCGGGGGGACACAAACATATTCCCCTGCGTGGGCGTAGCGCAGCGCATCGCGCTAGCTGGACTCGGGTCGCCCAGACCTACCCAAAACAGCTGTGCGAAGATTTGGCAACGGCTATGGCATTGAGAATGGGCTTGCAATCCAAACTGGGAAAGCTGGCCATTGCTGCTTGTGCTCATTGCGATTCTTTGCGCATTGGTGAGGCAAGCCACCCTGGACCTCGACGCCCTCAAGCGCGAGCAGAACGAGATGTGCGACTTCTGGAGCAAGTACAGCTTATTGATCGCCCCACTCAGCGATTGCAAGAGCGCGTCTGGGAGAACTTTGAAAGGTGGGTGGGCAGCCAAGTTAGTCAGTTTGCTGCCTCTCAACTTTTTCTTTGCCCCCAACTTGCGGTTGATGTGCTAATTTGTTATGGCAAAAGTCTGTTTACTGCTGGGGCTCCCCTTTATGAGTTCCGGCATGTTTTGGTACTGGCGCAGCAGAAGCACTCAGAGCTGCGAGCTTTCATGGGGCCTGCGTGGAGAGTAATCAGCCAGTGGGAAGAAGTCCAACCTCTTCAGCACCGTCAGCCTCTCCCTGAGATCCTCTTCAAGGCCATGTTTGTAGTTTCTCTGTTGCTTGGTTGGAAGCGATGGGCTGCCACACTGCTGCTGGGGTTTGAGGGAATCGCTCGGATTTGAGAAGTACTGCAGGCAACTAGAGCCGACCTTGTTTTGCCTTGCGATGCTGGTGACAATGTTTCTGGTGTAGCTTTCTTGCGTATTCGAAAGCCGAAGACCTCGAGGAGAGGAAAGGGCAGAGTGCAGCACCTGAAGATCACCAATAGTTCTGTGGTCGCTTTTTTAGAAGTGGTTTTTGGACCTCTAGACTATTCCCTGCAGTTGTTCCCGTTGTCGGCAAGTGTTTTTCGACGACGTTGGGAACGAGTTTTAGATCTGCTGCTGGTACCAAAAGCCAAAAGGCCAACGCCAGCGAGCATCAGAGGCGGAGGAGCCATCCTCGCCTATAAAAGAGGCGAACCAGTTCAAGACATTCTTTGGAGAATGCGTCTAGTGTCCATAACCACTCTTGAAAGTTACCTCCAAGAGTTAGCTGCTGAAAGCTTGCTGAGCAAGCTGTCAGAGTTGAGCCGCGGTAGGATCCGTAGTTCTGCTTCCTTTTATGAGTTGCACTTGCAGTCACCTGGCTTCGCCAAAACTGTACATGCTCGTACCTAGGGTGACGGCCTTCTTTAAGGGCGGTGTGGAGTCAGCCTCTTTTAAACCAGTGCAGCGTTCCAGTTTTTACCTGAGGACTTGCGAGCTGCAGCTGAGCTTAGGCCTCCTCCGGGAGATCGATCCCAAACACATGCCAATGGCCAGCAGGATGCAAAAAGTGTGGAAGCTGAGGACAGCGCATATATATATATATATATATACATACTTTTTTGGGATTGATTTGGGGATATAAGTGTACTATTCATATCATGTTATATCTATTTATGGGGTTTAAAAAGCAAGAAAAATAACTGGAGGGCCTCACCATTGTGGTATATTTGTGCAACATGCAAGACCCCAGAAACCATGGTTAAATAGTGGCTGAAATCACCAGTTGGGCCCATAGAATGGGGCCCACGATGGCCCAGCTACTGTAAGTTGATGAACATAACTCCAATTTCACCATGGTCTATGATGCGATAGTCCATATTTGTCCATCAGGTTTACCACTTGGTTATTTAACATAGCCATGGAAAATCCCCAAAATAAATGGAGGTTTCTAGCTGGGAAAATCATCTATAAATGGGCCATCTATACCATGGCTATGTTAAATACCCAGAGGGTAAATCAACATGGGTATGAACATCCATTTACCAGCTATTTTGGGGTTCACTAGGTACCAGGGTTTTGACCCATCCCCACATGTCACTGGGTGGCCCTACCTTGGTTTGATTCGGCGCTCAGTTCTCCACCAGGCATTGGTGCACAAAGCGATTGGCATGGTGTCCCAGTGGCCGGAGGGATTTCGATTTGGTGTCCATGACGATATGTTACAAACAACAGGGTAAGCTCCATGGTTAATATGTTTAAAAGGTGTTATTAAGGCTCAATAGGATTTGATTTACTATGGTGTATAATATGGATGATAAGTCGACAATAATGGGATAATAATGTAATGGATAATAATGGATACTCTCTGGCGAACACACATAGCCATGCAAATTCACAATGTTAATAGGAACATAATTTATAAATGGTCCATTCCATAGCGATGTCAGTTTACTGGGGGTATACACATGTATAAATTGTAGGATACATTACACTGATTGTCAATGAGTGTAATACTATTACATATTAGTACATTGTCATATATAGAATCATAATATATATATATATACAGTATATATATATATATGTATTATATATATATATTATATATATATACTAGAACATTCACCCAACGCAAAACTACCGACCCCAAGAAAAATGGCTAAATGTGTAGGGTTGACATCTACCATATCTTCAAGCCATGCCTGTCAGAGTCCCAACACTTAGTATTTGTTTAATTGTATCAACATATTTCAATCACATTACTGTGATGTTCCCGATGTTTGGCGCAGTTGTATTCCCCACATCGGTTCAATGTGCCCCCCCAGTGAGAAGTTTATTTATGACCCCCATCAACTATGGCTATAAGTTATCATCATAAACCATTTTTTATTGGAGTTATGTTTACCAACTTAGCGATGTTGTATTCCCCACATTGGTATTAACCTTGGTTAGCTAAGCATATGTTCAACCCGATGGGGAGCCGCCCCCCTCGGAATCCGCAGGAGATCGCTTTCGACCCTTTATGGTGGACACTGGACTGCTTCGCAAAGATGAGGCATGGCAGAGGACGGACTAACGGCTTTTTGTGGCTGGTTTCATCTGAACATGTTTGGTTGGCACATATTTTTTGGACTAACGATTCTTCGTCGCAAATATAAATAATATATATATATATACATGACATGTAACTTGTTGAAAAGGCAAACTAGGTTATCCATGCATTGAAGTGAGAGGAGTGAGACATTCCCTATCAAACTTATCATATCCCAAAGCCTTTGAGGTATTGAAAATGGCGCCCCCAAAAAAGGGCCGGGCCAAGTGTTTGTGGCGGAGCCGGCGGAGACCCCGACCGACGACCCAAAATAACGTGTCACGAGTTTTCGCCATGATTTCTGGTGAGTGAAGGTGTATATGATATGAAATGTATAATAATATGATATGATAATATGATATGATATTAATGTATAACAATATGATATGATATTAATATCACATATGAATGAGTATATTAATGATACTATGATATAATGTATAATAATGTATACCATCACTCACCAGAATATCATGAATGTGTGATATATACCATCACTCCCATTCTGATATCATGTAAACTATCATGAATGTGTATATTCATGATACTCCATCTACATATATATATATATATGTTGATTCGATGTGTATATATGAAACTATGAAATGAACATCATCAAATTTCTCAATGAAAATTGTCAATGAAGATCATGAAAATTGTCAAAGTATCCCTATTGTTTTAAAGTTTAAATAGATCCATATGTGTCCCATGAATCATCCGAAAATTCGCGTTGAATCCGATGAATTATATCAGCCTCCCTTTTTTCGAGGCCAAGATTGTGAAGGAGCGCTTGGAGAAACACATCCCTGGTATGAAGCTCAAGGCGGCTGGCGGCTTATTTTGTTGATTTAACTGGTGATTTTAGCAACATAGAGTGACATAGAAGCGTGAAAAATCATGATTTGAATGGTTGAAAATGTTCAAACCGTAGGGATTTAGCGGCGCGGTGTTGTTGGATGATTTCTGGTGATTTTAGCATCCAACATAGAGAATATTAACCAATGAAGAATGGTTGGTTAAATCATATGGTTAACTCGTGGAAATTATGGTTGGGACCGACGGGATTGGGTAGCCCTAAAGTCATTGGTCAATCATCATGTTCCCTCTTCAATATCTATAATATGCTACTGGGCTGGGGGTACACACATGTTAAGACGAAGCCAAGTGGGAATCTTTACGTTCGCGAAAGAATGAACGTTTTCGCAAGGTCTATGGCAGATCTGCCATAGATTTGGGGGCTTTGGTCAGACGTGGGGGATGGACATAGTGTTTTAAAATAGTTTAAACCATTGGCTTTGTGCATTTTCCCCCCCAAAAAAATCATGAGCCTAGATGAAAATGACTGCGAGACGCACTCATTGCTTATTACCACACAAGGAGGTTTAAACACCAAAGATTGCAAATTATTATGTATATAGACATACTTGGATTGCTAGCATTTCCAACTTGGCCATGTGAATTGTTGATATTAGTTATCATCATTATCAGTGTTTATCATCATTATTATTATATATATACATTTATAATATGTAACAAATAGGATGTGGATATTTATTATTCTGAATATCATAGATTTATATATATATATGTACGGATTTCTAAGCAATATATATATATATATTTATTTATAATGAAAATTAGGATGTGTCACTGCTTCGGCGTGTTTCGGTCGTTGCAGGTTCTGGATGCCAGCGGCGATTTCTACAAGGAGTTGGTCCGAGGGCCCGGCCTGGAGGGTCTCCACGGTGTCCACGTGGTGCCGTGGTAAGGCAGGGATGACATAGTATCTATAGTATAGTATCTATATGGATGTGGGTAGATATAGTATAGCATATCTATAGTATATCTATAGCATATCTATAATATATCTATAGTATATCTATAGTATATCTATGATATGGATGGTTTATATGGATGTCAAAATGGTGGATATATCCATATAATTCCCTGTTTTTTCCTGTATGGGGGGTTCCTAAGTCATGGTGGCTTCCCTAAATCATACATTTTAGATTAGGATTTTCTATTTTGTAAACCATCCAGCTATTGGGGTATCCCCATTTAAGGACACTTCCATATGGGTTTGATTGAAAATAGGGTATCTAAAATTGGAATTTGATTTATGATCTTCCCGAAAATTTGAAAATGATCTTCCCTGCTAAATACACCACTTTCAGACCCATATCCATGAAATTGATTCATTTAGAATTATCCATTTATATTTATATCACAAGTGATTTTAACTGTTGATGTAATGATGATTTGACCATCAGGATGGTTGATGGTTGATTGGTTAGCTTTTTGGGTGTTGTTAACCTACTCAGTTCATTGTGGATTGTTAAGTGATCCATCAACTTTGGATGACATGTTTTTTTTGACCACCGCTAGTGATGCCAATATATGCCAATATACCACGGAAAAAAAACGTCACTGGAAGCCTTGATGATACAACTTGTGGCGACTTCAGGTGCTTGTCATACTACCGCTGTATTGTTTTTCTTGATCACCTGGTTGGTAGTTTGGAACATGTTTTATTTTCCATTTCATATATGGGATGTCATCCTTCCCATTGACGAACTCCATCATTTTTCAAGATGGTTATTGCACCACCAACCATTCAACCAGCTACTCATTTTCGCTATATCTGACATGAGGAACATCGGACCAAGTGGAGAATCGAACTGCTTTTCACGCCTGCTGTGAATCAAAATCATATTTCCAGAGGAGATTAAAGCAGTCAGTATAAACCCGCCATGGTTTACTTTGATTCTCTTTAGGTTCAACGAACCATCCAAAGTTTCCCAATGGTTCCTACATTTCAATGGGGAAGAGGGTGAGCCACACGACATCCTGCTGACTTAGATCTGGGACTTTCATCATTCATCCCCCTTTCTTCATCGATGCTGATATCAACCAACATGTTGTGGATAAAGTAACGGATTGAAACATCTTGACATCACTTGTAAACAAATATCCGTTTCATTCCGTTTATATATATACTGGTTGGTGGTTTCACACATTGTTTATTTTCCATTTCATATATGGGATGTCATCCTTCCCATTGACGAACTCATATTTTTCAAGATGGTTAAAACCACCAACCAGCCATCTTTGGACCATGGCACATATGGTTTTTGAAGTCTGTAACTTTTTTTTTGTAAGCCTCAAATGGTTTTATAATGATACCACATAATATTCGGGACCGTTTGAAGGTTGTGGAAAATATTGCATAGGGGGATGGGATGATTGATGATAGTTTATAAAACCACCAACCAGATATCCATCAAACTGATGTCAACTCTTGGTTTACTGATCATTTGACCATCATGCATCGTGTCGGCGGAATCAGCGGGCATGACTTTAGGACTGTCCTCCGTCCTGAGGCTGGCGTCGAAGAGCCCGAGAAGAAACGAAAGATCATCGGAAGGCGGGAAGGGCTGAACTGCATGAGACCTTCCACAATCAATTGGGGATATAATATATATGATATACATATATATTTGGATATTATTTTTGAGATGAATTGATATAGATTGTTTCCGGACTCCAACTTTGGATGTCAGAAAATGTCACATTTCCACGCCCACTTTTTTTCATTTTGTTTTTTGTGGATGTCAGAAAACCTGTGTCACATACGATCATTCATGAATGTTTGGACTGGCATTGTATTCCTTGTACGGCTTAGTGATTTCTAGAGAAGTCAGAAAGTCACCCATTGTCCAGCCAACAGAAGCATCGACAAATAGCCCATTGCCATTTTGCAACCAAACTGTGTTGTGCCCTTTGCAAGCCACAACCATGAAGAGTCCACTATATGAAATGCCAATAAGATCCAATAAGCGCAATTCAGAATATTATATATATAATATATATAGTCAACCAAATATGTTGATATTCACCACTGGTGAACTTCTGTTGATTTAAAAACGTAAATATATTGACCTATTGACCTTTCCAAGGGAATGTCATTAACTTATATATAATTAGTTCCCATCCATCATCCATTCACCATACGCCTCACCGGTGGCCGTGGCAGTTGCTCAGGTTGTTCGTGGAGGCCTTTGAAAAGGCCGTCTCTGAAATGGGCTTGCCGCACGAGAGGTGCGAAAAATCCGTGAAGCAGTGCCAAGTGCGGCGGAAACGCGCCAGAGTAAAGATGGGAATTCATCCAACAAAAATGATGATTTATATTTGATAATAAATGATAGATGATAATAGTTGATTTAAGTCAGCTAAGTTGTTAAACACAAGTTCCAATGACTGTTGTGTTTACCATGGTATAGTTATATCGTACTAGTTTTCATGGGGGGGGTAATATGAACCAACATAGCCATCACGTTTCGCGGCACCACCTTGTACAATGTGGCCCCAGTTTTGTTTGTCGGTTTATAAACCTTATTAGCTATAGTTATAAGCATCATAAATCATAGTGAAATTGGAGTTATGTTCACTAACTTAGCGATTTAGTTTGGACGCCCTACTGTGTACCCTCTGGCAATTTAACATAATTATGGAAAAGCATCATTTTTAGTAGGTAAATCATCATGTTTATCGTCGAACTAAATGGGGTTTAGCTATGTTAAATAGCCAAAGAGTAAGTGAAACCATCTAGATTATATCTCCACTAAACCACCATTGGTCCATATGAATCCATATTAATCACTCCAACATCAACGGGGGCGTTCTGCGTTCTGCGGAGCTCTCCAGGTGCTTGTTACTGCAGGGAACGCTGTACCCAGATGTCATCGAGTCCACCTCCTATAAAGGTCGGGCATCAAGGGCGGCCTGGGCAAGGGAAAACCATGGGAACCATGGGGAAAAAAACATGGAAAAACACCATGTTTAATGGGAAAACTATGGACAGATCCACCATTTTTAATGGTGAACATAGAAAAAACCATGGAACATCACCACAGATCCAGCATTTTTAGTAGAGAAATCAACTATCAACGATTTCTAAATGGGCAATTTTCAAGTTCGCAAAGTGTTAGTCATTACCAGCACAGGACCATCCAGCGTCATCAAGACTCACCACAACGCCACTTGGCAGAGCTTGGCGGCGGCTTCTGTGGCGATGGGTCAACGGCTTGAAAAACGGCTTTGAATCGGGGTTTCATTGGGTTTATTGGGTTTATAGAGGGAAAACCCATCGTTTTTCATGGGAAAATCAACTATAAATGGTGATTTAATGGGATGTAATGGGATTTACCCGGCCTGGTTATGACTAACAGTTAGCGAACTGGAAAGATCCACCATGCTATTAAGAACGGTAAACCATCTATTTCTATGGGCCATCTATACCATGGCTATATTAAATAACCAGAGGGTAATGTGGATTTAATCGGGTGTCAATGGGTTATTAATGTATTTTTCAACTATGAAAACTATGGGGATAAAGATTGACAAATGATGGTTGGTTGATGATGAATACTATCCAGTGGGAGGGAACGGTGAAGGGAACTCATCATCAACCAACCATAATTTGTCAATCTTTATCCCCATACAGCTATGGGTATCCATATTCCCTTCACAAAAATTATTCTGTTAGGTTCCAAGAATCAAACATGTTGCTTCAACCGGCCAAAATTAGGGGACTTACCCAATGAAATGAAATTTCTGAAAAAAAAGGGAACGTGATGTTTGAAACCATGGGAATTTTGGGTACAATTGTCAGACCAAGACCCGAATTGGACTGATGACTTTCAGGATGATTACCCTCTGGTAAACTAACATAGCTATGGAAAATCACCATTTTTGATGGCTAAATCCACTATAAATGGCAATTGTCAATAGCTTTTTGTATGTCTACCAGAGGGTATTTGTTATGATTATGATGAAAATGAGGCGAAACCTATTCCTCCTGCGGCAATTTTGAATGGCCCCGGAACTCTCCATGCTCAGTCTGCTCAGTGTCTCCGAGCCATAGCGCCAAGATTCCACTGTAGGGCTCGTGGTTATTCATAGAATTAACCCTACTCATTTATGTTTGTTTTCTCCATATACACATATATGATATTATGTTATATTAGATATACATAATATATCATACGTTAATAGCCATAGCTCTCTTTCATGTCGAAATCCATAGGTTTCCTATGCACCAAAGTTGTGGCTTGTCAGGTTGGTGGCCTCCCTGACAGAATGAAGATGGAGGTTATTGAGCCCCTGAGGTATCGCAGCCGGTGAAGGGATAGCCTGTGGCAAGGATGGATTTAAGGGAAACTTGGAACCGGAACCCCCCATATTTAGTGATTAAAACAATGATTTCCTTTAGATTTTCCCTTAAACCAATGAAATATGATAGCCATTGATAGCCTATATTAATATGTGGCAATGTGATGGTAATATGATGGGAATATAATGGTAATAGTGAGGTAATCCTATAAATAGCCTATGGACAGCCAATGAGGATATAATATACATACATGGACATACCATCGGATGTAATGCTAGGTTTACCATCGATTGAAGAAAATCCACGAAAGCCATGATGTCTTACCCTCTGGTAATTTAACATAGCTACTGAAAATGACCATTTATAGTGGATTTTCCCATTAATCATGGTGATTTTCGATAGCTACGTTAAATTACCAGAGGGTAATGTGACAATCATCGAACTATTGCTGGTGGATTTTCTAAAAAAAGCCACTTTTGATGACCGGAGGGTAGGCTGCAGACCCAAACGAGTCCCCAAGGGTCAGGTGAAATCCAGTTCGTCAGTGAAGTTGATGATCAACTAGTATGGCTACCCTCTGGTAATTTAACATAGCTATGGAAAATCACAAGTTTTAATGGGAAAATCCACTATAAATGGGCATTTTCAATAGCTAAGTTAGTTTACCAGAGGCTAGGCTTTATAATTCAGGCAAGCTTTCTGATATACGTTAAGGGTTGTGTTTATTGGTAACATCCACAAACTAACAAAGTCCTTTTGTCAGATGGCAGACGGATGATTTTGGTTGTTTGAATCAATGAAGTGAATCCTTGGGCAAGCCAGTGGCCACTATGAGTACAAACTCGTGTGATATAGTAGTAAAATCATTAATTTATGTTTGGGAATCTCTTAAATCTTTGATGTAGTATATGGTACACCCAAATTCATAACTCCCAATGGCTGACCATGAACGGGTGGCAAGAATAATCCCCACATGATAGGTTAATAATATATAGGTTTGTGGCATTGAGTGCACGGACATTACCCCAAAAAGAGATCAACAGAGCAGAAACTCAGGTTTCGCAAATTTATGAATGGTGACTAAGTCAATATATATATATTAATCCCATGAATTATATATCCCATATCCCATTAATTGACCATGAACAGACACCCTCGAAAATCACCAATGGCCTGTGCAGTGTTGGTTCAATTGTCCCTCCGTCATCCACCAGGGCTGTTGGAGGATCCAACGAAGTGTTGGTTAGTGAGTCCCCCCAAAAAACAACGGTAACTGGTGGCCCCCCCTATGGAATCCCATAAATTGGGTGATTTAACACGTTATACCGATGTGATAACGGGTTTTCACATGTTATAACATGCTATAACATGCTATAACCTCACTCATCAGTTCTTAAGTCTAGTGGATTTGAAGTTGATTTATGTCGTGAACTAGCCCTGACCAGTCCATGGACTCACGTCGCGCCAGACTACTCTTCAAGGACGAAGTCCGAGCATTGGGTCTGAAGCTTAGACCAGACCAGGGGAGCTCGTGTCGACGAGCCTCCAGCGAACATGGCTATGGAGTAACCATTCAATGGCCATAATAAACCACCATTGGTCCATATGAATCCACTGGTTGGTGGTTTGGAACTATAGTTTATCTAAAACTAATGTGCCTATCTATATATATATATACAATGTGGGGCCCCCCAGTGATGTTAGTTGGTTTATAAACCCCATGAATACTATAGTTATAAGTACCATAAACCATAGTTATTGGAGTTATAAACCAACTTCGCTATCTTGGGGGCCCCACATTGTAGCTATTAAAATATTAAATGGATTATGGCCCATTATAAACTCACATAAATGGTTTAGCTATTAAAACATGGTGATGTTCAATAGCTATGTGAGTTTGCTAAAGGGTATATGGCTATGGATCAATAGCTGTTGACCCATCCCAATATTGATTGAATGTTTTTCGGGTTTCTTAAGTCATGGAGGACCTCCCAAAGTGGATGGTCTAGAATGGACAAGTCGACTAAAATGGATGATAAATGGGGTACCCCCATTTTAGAAAACCTCCAGATGCGTGTTTCTTAACTCATGGGGATCCACAAGTCACCATGGTGGGTTTCAATACTATAGTTATATAGTTTGGTGCATAATGACTTGGATAACTTGGGGGTACCCCCTATGACTTAGGAAGCCTCCATATGTTACTAATGCAAATATCCCCTGAAAGTCTTATCATATTCACATTCGATGCTTTCTCCTTTTGCTGAATGAAATAGACCCATCAGCCCGTATCCTGACGGGCCATCCCAACCTATGTATTTGAAGCATTTCTTAAATTGGACCATATGGAATTATCTGGATATGAAACAAAGAGACCATAGAGATGGGATAAACAAGGACAGTCAATATTAACTATAGATAGAAACCTTACATCCATATGAGATACGGTCAAAATAAGCGTAGATTACTTTAGTAAGGGAGGGTCCAATCGTGTTGAGAAAATGCACCAAACCATGTAAAGCGATAGGGCCCCTCCCAAAAAGCGATAACCTGTAACCATCTGTGGGCAAAATTGATGAAAATTCAACCTGCAGTGCCCACGTTTCTTGCAGTTGGCATTTCATTTGCCGTCCAAGGTGATTGAGCCATTGCTTTCTGCAGGCAGATTGTTTTTTTCTTCCCAGGTCCCAAAGCAGTAGAATTAAACCAAATTGAACGCAACCAAATTCTGAATTAAGCAAACAATAGATTGAAATCTAATTCTGAATGCCCTTTGTGTGTTTAGATTTAATTCGAGTTGCGTCTTCCTTTGTTTCCTTTTCTTTTTCTTTTTTCTTGTTCCTTCTTTTTTCAGTTAAAACTAAACGCAATTGAATTCTGAACCAAATCAACTCTGATTACGAATCTTGTTCTGAATTCCATCTATTCCATGTTTGATTTGTCGTTTCTTCTTCCTTTGTTTCCTTTTCTTGTTCCTTCCTTTCTCCTTCTGTTTTTTCAGTTGTCCTTTTTGTTCTACGTTCCTCTTTCCTTTCCTTTCTTGATCGTCAACGTGTTCCAATTTAGCGATAACCTTAGCGATAACCTAGCGATAACCTTTTGTTGAAAAAGGGACCCCGGAGGAGGGATAGACTCATTTGATCCCAAGAAGAAGAAGAAGGGCTCAACAAAAAAGTGAACAGGTTCTCGACACCAGGCCACCACGTTGTATTCAGACTTGGGGAGCCTAATGCACTTCTTCGTAGCTACGAACGCTTCTTTTTTGGAACCATTGGTCTATATCAAATCCGGTCTTTCTAGTTCGGAGATGAGATCGTAACAGATTTCCTTGCTTAGGAAAGAGTCTAGGAATGTGCTTAGATAGCTCCCCAACATGGTTGCAAACGCAAAGACAACGAAAGGCCCTTAATCCATCCCCGGCAGTTTAGATCTGAATCCGTGAAGCTAATTCCCTTGCATTTTTGCAGTATTTCGTGTTGATTTGAACAAAACACTGGAAAGCGATAGGGCCCCCCCCAAAGAGCGATAACTTATATTTTTGTACCAGGCATAAACAATTGATTTTGACGGCGGCTCATATGTTTATACATAGGTACCCTCTGGTAAACAAACATAGCTATTGAAAATGGCCATAGAAATAGTGAGTTGTCCAATTAAAAATGGTGATTTTCCATAGTTTTGTGTATGTTTACCAGAGGGTATAACCACCATTTTCCTATGGTTTTCCTATGATTTTCCCATAAAACCACCATTTTCCCATAGGGTTTCAACTCGCTCGGCCTTCCAGGAAATGAGCTTGGACTTCCAGTGACATCCGTGCGGCACCCAACAAAAAAACCTGGTGGCAGAGGGATAAAAATTCCATTGGCACCGAAAGGGTGCCAAGAAACATATATGAACACCAATTAACCAATGGTAATGATATATATATATATACATATGTATATATATATATACATATATATATGTATTCACATATTCATATATATATATAGTTACTTTCCCAGTCATTTGTCATGGATCCAGTGAAAATGAGGTCCTTTTCGCCCAACTCATTCCAGATCTGGCAGTATGGAGTACTTCCCAGTTGAATCGCATTTGAAAACTGGACTTTTTAAATACACAGAAATTCAACATAATCTAGTTAACAACGAGGGCACATAGATTATAGGATCTATATACATTTATTGAATATAGAAAATATTGTTCCTATATGTTCCTGGCTTTGAACACGTCACCCAAATATCCAGTGGTTTCGAACCTCATTTTCCCGTTTTCCCTCTGAAATGCTCATTGGAAAATGGGATACTGTATACCCAATGTTCAGACACACCCATTTTCATGATATCTGGCTTTAAATCATGGTTTTTGTCCTGCTGAAATCAGTACGTGTTCACATTTGTTGATGGTGAAAGGGCCCATGTTTGATGGTAAATCCACCATTTTCCAGGCGTGAAATGTCGAAAAAAACTCCTATCGCCTCCAGTAAACAACTCTAAAAGTCACACAGTTTTGTTCAAATCCATCACAAGGTGGTGCCCCCCCAGTTATAAGTTGGTTTATACACCCCATTGACTATAGATATATCTACCATAAACCATAGTTATTGGAGTTATAAACCAACTTAGCTAACTATGGGGCACCACCTTGCATGAATGCAGATCATATTTGTTTAAAGGTTTTGTTGGGGACAATTTTGAACATCGACACTGGACCTCCCCATCTTTTCATGCAAGATGAGGCCCCCCTACAAGTTGGTTTATTTAGAACCCCCATGAATAGCATACTTATTATGGCCCCCTAATCAACTTATAGCATTCTCCTTTTGTCAACTGTGCGTCAACCGAGTCAAGCTAAGTCTTTCATAAACACCAGAAATATCTCTGAAACATATCTCATATCCCATGACGGATCCATGGTGCTGGTATATTAATGCTAACATAAAGGGGGTATATTGATGGGATCCATGGATAGCAGCACCAGCCGGATCCGTCATGGGTATGGGAAAAAAATCTCTGGGATGTCACTATAAATCGAATGAGAAATCCACATACCCTCTGGTTATTTAACATAGCTATTGAACATGGCCTATTCATATAGTTGATTTCTCTATTAAAATGGTGATTTTCCATAGTTATGTTAGTTTACCAGAGGGTATCTCTGGGTTATCTCTCACTGCTTGTCCATCAGGTTATGAGGCATCCCTTCCCTGGACCTGGTCTCGGTATCCGCATCATCGGCGAGGTGGACAGTCTCTGGGGTTCTTTGATGGTTCACCCCCTCCATTTTTGATGGTTAACATTGGATTTTTCATCATTGACACATGTTAACACCCTATTTTGGATGGTTAACCCTCCCATTTTTGAGGGTGAAACTCAGATTTGTTGGACTTTTGATGTTCACCACCTCATTTTTGATGCTTTGTCCCAGCTTTGGCGCCGAAATTGGCAGGGCCTTTTGGGGACCCAGGGGACCCCAGGCCATCCCTGTTCGGAGGTCACTAAGGAGAGCGCGGACACCTTGTCCTTGGCCGATGACATCTATATCGAGGAGACCTGGCCGGTTCTGTTGGAAAAACCGGTCGTAGGAAACATGTTGAGAACTTCCAGAAGTGTTGGTTGTAGGGTTTTTTAGATGGTGTAAGTGTATAGTATAGAGATACATGGTGAGACAAATAATATATATATATATATATATACACACATAATTACATATGCTGTACCCTCTGGTAAACTAACATAACTATGGAAAATCACCATTTTCAATGGGAAAATCCACTATTTCTATGGCAATTTTCAATAGCTATGTTAAATTACCAGAGGGTATACAAAGTCTTTAAACTGTCTGGACTTGGACGGTTAACCAGCCAAAAATGATATTGATAAGCGATTCATGCAAACGCTAAGTTGGTGAACATAACTCCAATAACTGTTGGTTTTATGGTAGATATATCGAACTAATTATATAAATTTTATATAATGGGTATATAAACCCATGAGGGTTATATGGGTAATTATGGTCAAAATCGTGGGGGACCCTGGTGAAAACACACCAACATTTACTGGGATTTATAATGATTAGATATTCATCCGAAACATGAGATATTAGAGGTTTTGATATGTTTTGACCCATTCCCAACCTGGCAAATCCTCTTCAAAGCCATGAATTCATTCCAGAGTATCTTGCAAGGCTAGAAGTTGAGGGAAGCAACAAATCATACCATCGGGTGTCATCAAATATCTCTAGCTGGGAAATCCCCTATAAATGAAGATGTTACTGGGATATCCGTTGAACTAAACGGGACATATTCCAGCAAACCATGGTAAATAAAACGACTACGGACTCATCTAACAGTTTATGAATTGACAACACTTATGTAGTAATGATCTACCCTCTGGTAAACTAACGTAACTAATTATGGAAAATCACCATTTTTCATGGGTAAATCAACCATAAATGGCCATTTTCAATAGCTATGTTAGTTTTCCAGAGGGTAACATGTTGATTACGGGAGGTTACTTCTGTGTTTTGCTTCATGAACATGTAGAAGTTGGTGCAACAACGATCGTTTGCGAAGTTGGATGCTACATAATTCCAATATATTACAATAACTGCTGATGTTTTGTTTACATATATACATACATATATGTATATATGTATATACATAATACTAAATATATATATATATATATGTAATATATATATTATATACAATATATATATATACTATATATATATACAATGATAATATATATATATACTATTATATATATATACTATTTTATATACACTATATATTATATAGTATATTTACTATATACACAAAAAATGGTGGTACTGTAACATCAACCAACATTGCCATCATGGGGAAACCAGGAGCTCCGAAAGAATGGTCATTATGACAAGATCGGTCAGGCCTTTTTTGCGCGGAATATGTTCTTCTGAAGGTGTGCTTTGGTCATGGGGATATGGAAGAATTATATGCAGAACATGGACATCCTTGATTATGGCGAATTGTATATATATATGTAATACGGAAGAAATTGATATATGTAAGAATGGACATATAACATCATACAACCCACAATATCCCCAAATTCTTACACCCTATCACATACCCTTTGATCCTATGGCTAGATATCAAGAAGCAACAAAATCTGGAGTCGGACCTGACAGTTTAGTTCAAGTTGCGGCCCAATGTAATATTATATATATATATCTCTTGAATCCTCTTCACTTTCTTGGGGAATCAGACAGCTTATACATCCGAAAACGCCAACCTTTGGCGGCTAGTAATCTCCCCCTATTAGGGTAGACGTGAAAATTCATGGGATAGTATTGCCATGTTTGCCATATGGGGGGTTACAATGTGGCCCCCCCCAGTTATAAGTTGGTTTATAAACCCCATTAACTATAGTTATAAGTACCATAAACCATAGTTATTGGAGTTATAAACCAACTTAGCTATCTTGGCGGCCCCAAATTGTAGAACTTCCATTTTTTTGGATCAACATCATCAACGTCCACACATCCCAGCGGCCTGCCGAGTACCAGGGTCGGTTACCACCGCAACGGGACCGACTCGGCAGGCCTTTGCAGTTCTGCTCCCAACGGTGCGTTCCGTGGGTGTGATGGGTGACCACAGGAGCGATGTGACGGGATCACGTCATTTGAGGCGCGTTTTGAAGCCCAAAAATGCTATTTCAAAGCTCATAACCACAAAAATGAGGGATATAGTTTCTTGATAATTGATGATAATTGATGATTGGAGGGTGATTATCTGAATTAGAAAATTGGTTTGAACGCTGCTCATTTCAGGATCGCTTTATTTCTATCCCTGAGTATCCCCAGCTTTTTCTGAGTTATGTGATCAACGGCCCACTTGTGAAACTATAGAGCTAAAGCGCCATACAAGGCCATATTTTCCACCTTCATCCCTTCTCTATATAAATGAAATACCCCCAAAACTGAAGGTATTGACATGTAATGTCAACCCCGATGAAACCATTGTTTATTAACTAGGGAAGTACTCCCGAAATAGATCGAGATAGTGCAAATCTGATGCTTAAATTAAATAGTACAGTACAGTAGCCCCATCAATTAAACAGCCGTTTGGGGTTTATCAATCCAGGGTTGACCAGACTATGTTTGGCAACTGACTAGCTACAGCGAATACAATTCCCAAACAATATTCAGGCTAGGGATGGCTAGGGCCCAATTGAAAAACATTGTCAAAATCTAAGCAAGGTCGGATGATTTCATGTTTCCCAACTTTTTCACTATTCTCCAAGCAATCGTGTGACCAATCGTGTGACAAGAGACATGTTCAGGGCAAATAAGGTGCTTGAATGATTACAACATGTTACCCTCATGTAAACTAACATAGATGTGGAACACCTACATGTGACAGATCATTTTTCTTTTGGGGCACCCAAAGGGGTTTTACACATTTTTGTTGGACTGTTTACATATGTAATACCCGGAATTTTAATGGGATTTTAATGGGATTTTATGGAAAAACCTGGGAAAGTTGCTGGAGCAACCGGTCACAACGTCTTTTCTTAGGACATACGAGAACGTCTGCGTACTGAGAGCAGTGACCACCACGGATTTCATGACTGCCACGACCTGAGTGATTTTTCGATGGGTGAAAGATATGGAAAAAGCGTGGGGAAATAACATTAAATAACCCCAGGGCCCCAGATCCTTAGCATTCCGTTAGAGTAAAACTGGTTGGTGCTTTGAAACATTGTTTATTTTCCATTTCATATATGGGATGTCATCAGCCCAATTGACGAACTCCATCATTTTTCAAGATGGTTAAAACGCACCACCAACCAGCTAAGTATATCTAAGGACCGAAAAAATGATTCGGCCGGTCAAAAAAGTTAACAGTGGCTTTCAGCTTCAGATGTTGGGGATGGCAACAGTGAACAAGCCAAAGACGGAGATGTTTGTCGGCGAACATCTGGTGGACATCGACCAGAATGGGTTCAGTCAGCTTTACAAAAGACGGAGATTGGTTCACCAAACAGACCTACAAGGTGGTGCCCCCCTAGTTATAAGTTGGTTTATAAACCCCAGTAACGATAGATATATCTACCATAAACCATAGTTATTGGAGTTATAAACCAACTTAGCTAACTATGGGGCACCACCTTGTAACAGAATCAATAAAGAACCGTAGAACTGGAGGTTTCCATATTTTGGGGGGACCCCCAATAGCTGGTTCATCATGGAAAATCCCAATATGGATGATTTAGAGGTACCGCATTTCAGGGAGTTGGCCCAAGATTACTGGAATCCCTAAGTCTTCGCGTCTTGCAGCCGCTGATTGGTTTTTTGGAACAGAGCATATGGAAAATGATGGACCATTGAATCTATGAATCTATGAATATCGATGATTTACCATGGTTTAAACCTAGATTTACCTATGATTTACCATGGTTTACCATGGTTTCCCGATGTTTACCTCTACCATCCAATGGATGGATAAACTGTTTCCACCTACGCCGTTTGCTGAGGCGGATTGGTACGACATGCCACATGATGTGCTGGCGCGCATCTCAAATCGTATCATCAACGAGGCCGTTTTCGATGCCAGCGGCCATTGGGTTCGTTCAGAAGTGTTGATGGATATTGATGGCCGATGGAAAAAAAAAAAACAACTCTTGCTCTTTCATCATACAAAACTATTACATACATTCGTACCATGGCTGCTATTTGTTTTCAACTATGATTCTTTAAGTTTCAACCATATTTGTTTGGTCTGATCATATGTTTTTCGGTTCAGCGTGGTTCAAACCGCCAAGTGCCGATTATCGTGCCATCCTAACATGGGGATGAACGGGTCATTTTCGCTGTTTGTTCATTCCAAATGATTCCAAATCAGCCTTCAAGGGTAGCTGTGTTGATTGGTTACTATCGTTGGTTATTCACATTTATTCACCTTTTCCTAATTGATTGGGGACGATTGTAATACATTTCACATGGATACCTGGATACTTAGTAGTCCCATACCCCCGCTTTCATCTCAAACACCCCCCAGAAACCCTGTTGGAATGAAAAGGATGAGACCACATTGGGACCATAAAATGTTTTTTTTTTAAAATATATCAACGGGGGATGGGGTTAATTGTCCAGTTATTATCAACCTCATTACTGTAACATGAATAACTAGCTAGAAACTTACATAACTAATGATTATATAATAGTTAGTATACTAGCTAGAAACTGACATAACCAATAATTAATAGCTAAATAGTAGTAATAGTTATTGAAAATAATAGCAATGACAAAATTATGTCACCATGGTCACATCCCATGAAGAACTCCTGGCCATTTCAAGAAGCGACAAGCAAACTGGAGCGACAAATAAGACGATCCCCCATGTTTTTGGCTTTAGATGGTACAGTACCTAATAAAATCATATAACATCTAACAAATATATCATCAGAACTACCATTAGTTAGTACCATTAGATATATAGTACCATTAGTTAATACCATTAGTTGCTACCATTAGTTAGTACCATTAGTTACTACCATTAGTTAGTACCATTAGTTACTACCAGTACCATTAGTTACTACCAGTACCATTAGTTAGTACCATTAGTTAGTACCATTAGTTAGTACCATTAGTTAGTACCATTAGTTAGTACCATTAGTTAGTACCATTAGTTAGATACCATTAGTTAGTACCATTAGTTACTACCAGTACCATTAGTTAGTACCATTAGTTAGTACCATTAGTTAGATACCATTAGTTAGTACCATTAGTTACTACCAGTACCATTAGTTAGTACCATTAGTTAGTACCATTAGTTAGTACCATTAGTTAGTACCATTAGTTAGTACCATTAGTTAGTACCATTAGTTAGATACCATTAGTTAGATACCATTAGATATAAGTGAAAGATATACCAATATACCATGAAAGATACCATGAAAGATATACCATTAGATATGCCGATATACCTTTTTCGAAATACCACTACCATTACCATTAGATTAGATACCATTCGAATCCACATAATTCGAAATCCCATTCTACAATGTGGGGCCCCCAGACGATAGCGAAGTTGGTGAACATACCTCTAATAACTTTGGTTTATGATACTTATAACTATAGTTAATAACTAAACCATGTTATGGGCCCCCCCTAGTAGAATGGTATTGAAAACCATAGTATTATCAACCATAGTATCATAAATCATAAACCATAGTATTTGGTATGTATTTGGTGTATAAACCAAATTGTAACCTAGTATGTTACATGAATTATAACCATACTATATATATGTATAAAAACCATATTATAATTATAGATCACCATACCCAGATGCTCCATGTATGAAATATCTACCTACATTTGGGCAATTTTTAGGGTAAATGTAGGTAAATATTCCATACATGGAGCATCTGGGGATACTATAATACCATACTGTAATTATAGATTATAGATGATTATAGATTATAAATACTATAAGTCCATACTATATAAAGCATATCATAGTTATAGATTGCCATACTACAATAGCATATTATATAGTCCATATCATATATGACCTATACATATTTCGAATTACCATGTCATAGTTATAGATGTCCATCATATGTGGTATATCATATTACCATATTTCATACCTTACATATTATAACTCCAATTTCACTATGGTAAGAATGGTAGATATATCGAACTAGTTACTATGGTAAACTAACGTTCACATCACTGGGGGGGCACCACCTTACTATATATAAATCATATCATAGTTAAATACCATACTATGATTATAGATGATTATAGATTATAAATACTATAATTCCATACTATATAAATCATCTCATAGTTATAGATTACCATACTACAATAGCATATTATTACTATAGATTTCCATGGCCCCACCTTCGAAATCCCCCAAAAAAACACAGCTCCCACCGTGTGTTTTCCAGGTCAAAGGCATCAATCGCGTCTGCTATGACGTGTCCTCCAAGCCTCCCGCAACCATCGAGCCGGGCAACCCAAATTTTCCAAGAGCTGGATGGCTTGAAATTTCTTGGCAAATCCTATAAAATAATGGAACACCACCCTGTATATATATATATATACATACATATATATATATATAGATAGTGTTATATGATACTATTTATCAAACATTGCCCAATGTTTTTTTTATCATTGGAGTGTTTTGGGTATAACTTGTTTTTGTGTTTCAACAACTGATTTATTGCTATCTTGCCATGTTTTTCTGGTTCCCAAGTTCATTGCAAAAGCAAACGTGGCAAAAACTCTTTGCAATCCTTATGGATCTATTCTGAATAGATTTGCAGTGCCCAGTTTGAAAAACGGTCATCAACGGTCGTCATGGCTCAGGTGGGAGTGAGCTCTTCCAAGTTTCACTCAACTTCGATTTCAAGACGCCCGTAGGTCATCGCTGCAGGTCGTCGGGGTTTCCCAGTCAAGCGAATTGGACAATGACCCATGTTTTCTCTTGGCAGGATAGGATCTTGTACGTCTTTAGGATGCTGTAAATATGATATGTTTAGAGGAGAACATACATGTGCATATATGTGCGTCATTTTCTATCACTACTCAGCTGGAAAGTCGATCAGAAACAATTGCAATAACTTGCAGTTTAAATGTGGAATGGGTGTGATGTCCAGAACAGTGGGGCTTCAGAAGCGGTGTGTATTTTCGTCAGTTCGATTTTGGCCGTTTAGACCACTTGTTGATTATACCATTATGCAATATTATACTGAGTCATGGTTCTACAAGACTTGCAAGAAAACATATCACTTGAGTAGCTGGGAAAAAAATGGTAAAACAGGGATGCTGGGACATCCCAGCGTTCATTGTTGGTTGTTATGGTGTTTATGTTGTTGTTCAATGTTTCATCCTTACCTTTGATGTTTTATGTGGTGGAGGTTCTGGGGCTATTTTCTTGTTAAGTGTTCATCGTTTCCTGTTTCATTATTTTGTTAAATCTATTGTTGATGTTCTTTCATAATGTTTTTGTTGAGGTTATTGCGTTTATTGTTGAGGTTGTTGTGTTTTTTGTTGTTGCTGTTGCAGTTTATGTTTTGTTCAGATTAGGCCACATGTATTCTACTCAATGCATAAACTGTTTCAGTTTTTTTTTGGCGGACTGCCCAACGGAACTCCGTCCTACTCTCAATCTTTGTGGACTTCAACGGCTTCTTCGTAATTGTCATGCCGGGTTTCCCAGAGTGCAGTGGGTGCGCTTGAACAAAAAGTCTCCCCCCTGCTTTGCACATGACATTGTGGCACTGGACACAGGCGTTGCCCCTAAGAGATTGCACAAAACCAGTTGTGCCTTCGTGAGCAGACATCTAACTCAAGTGCAAATGGTCATGTTTTGCTTTTCAAAAATTCTTTCCCCTCACGTTTGCCATGGATGATGATGCTGGAGCGAGTTCAGAGAGTCCGACATTGAAGCAGGCACCGACCAAATTGGAAGAGGCACAGACCAAATTGAAAGAGGCACAGACCGAATTGAAAGAGGCACAGACCAAATTGGAAAAGGCACAGACCAAATTGGAAGAGGCACAGACCGAATTGAAAGAGGCACAGACCGAATTGAAAGAGGCACAGACCGCATGGCTGAATGCAGAAAGAGACAAAGACATCCACGAGAACATCGTGCAGAGTGCCAAAGAAAATGTGCAGAGTGCCAAAGAAAATGTGCAGAGTGCCAAAGAAATGCGTGATTTTTGGTTGCACCAGCAAGGCGCCCCGGCTCAGTCTTCGGAAGGACTTCTCGCGAAGAAACTGGACGAGCTCAAGGACGAGCTCAAGGACGAGCTCAGGGAAAGACTGGGGCAGGTGGCTAAAAATGAAGCGCTGCTGGTGGAGGCTTTCTTGAACCGATACACTGGATACACTTTGACACCGGTTTCACACTACTCATCACAGCTACACTTGATGGACACTGGCATCAGCGTGCACAGGAGTACTACAACACACGGAGTTGCCTTGTTCTCCAAAACCTTTTCCCAGATGACTTTAAAGTGAAGCCTCGGTGGTTACATGAAACGGGTTGGGATTCCATCTTTCCAGCCGTCGCTGCGCACATTATACCCAAAAATGGCTACAACTTCGTCCAGAATGAATTGAGTATTGAAATCGACAGTCCTCGCAATAGCATACTGCTTCTTCGCCATTTAGAGCATACATTTCAGGATGGAGATTGGTCTTTGATTCCTGCGGAGAGAAGCAGCGGAGCGGTGAATTTCAAAATCTATGTCAGCCAAAACTTGAAGGACATGAACGTGAATTACATTGACGAAAATGGTGATTCTTCAGAAGCGGTTCGTGTGAGGAAGGGGCAGGCCCTGCAACCGTTGAAGTTCGGGGACTTGCATGAGCATGAGCGCGACTTTTGGGTTGAGCCACCGCCCTTCCTCCGCGCACTGTTTTTGAAAGCGAGGATGGCATGGCAGAAGCATAAGGAAGATGATGACCCTTTGCCCGACCCAGCTCAATTCGCAGACACATTCTCAGACTTTTGTGACACATGGAACGATTTTATGGTTGGCAAGTTTTTAAGCTCTATCCGGCAGCTGAAGAGTGCTGGGGGAACACAATCCCCATGATTTTGGAAACACCTTCAAAAGACTGTTTCACAGACAGGGTGAATGGAGAAAAACAGCGTTCTCTTGCCTCAGGAGGATTTGTCAAGCAAACTTTGAAAAGTAGTGTTGTTAAGGAACTTCCCAAGACAACTGCAACAATCAAAGTTCTATTTGAATACCAAGTATCAATGATACCCTGCTACCAGTACCCACATATCAATGACACCCAGAACCAAGTATCAACGATACGCTGAACCAAGTATCAATGATAACCAGATACCAGTATCCAAGTACCAATGATACCCAGATACCAGGATCCAAGTAAGAACAACAATACCCAGAAGAAAGTATCAATGATACCATGATACCAATATCCAAGTATCAGTGATACCAAAAATAGAGTATCAATGATACCCTGGTACCAGTATCCAATTAGGAGTGATACCCGAAAGAAAGTGTCAAAACAAACGATGAGATGTTGGGGCTCGTGTTGCACGACCGCACGACCTGTTCCTTTGACACAAGCACAGAAGCCCTTGGCGTCATTAATTTGATACCATTTGGTCTATTTCCGTGTCATTTCCTGAAGCCTTTGCTTGAAAGACTGTCAGAGCAGTTTTGACTGGCATTTAGCACTTTATAAGTCCATCCAACCGACAGTAAAGACTTGAATTCACTTGAGCCATTGTCAGCCACAAAGACTTTGTTTGACTCGTGTTTTGAACGGATTTGACGCGTTCTGTCTTCACGCGGCACTGTTGGCATTGGCGTTCGCCATTTGGAGCATTCCATTTTTTTCCATTTCAGTTGCCTTGACCCACGACTGTTCTTCAAGCCGTTCGCACCCGACCAAGGTTGAGAAGTCATCATTGTGACCTTTTGAAGGTGTGTGCGAATTGTTGTCAAAATTTCAAGGACTATTTTTTCGATAAGGGTTCAACCAAAGACTGGAAGGAATGACGTTGACAAACAGCCTTCAAAACAAGATTTGCGGTGGATCATTTCATCCTTTTTGAGGGGGCAGTATTTATCCAATACCTCGGGGACACACATTATTTGAACCCACACATCCCATGCACACACACACATACACATTCACACCACACGACTTCATGTTCATCACTTCGGTTTGGCATTGCTTGGGAAAGGATGGGATGGTGTGTTTAAAGGGTATAATGAAGATATATAAAGTATATATGGTTGTTTTTTGGTCTTTGAGACGGTTTTAGGGTTGATATATCAAAAGAAAAATGCTCTTATTACGAAGGGCAACGGTTAGGAGCGAATGGGATTGATTGAGCACACTGCCGTTGCCCTTAAAATGGAAAAACTAAATTTTGGGGAGAATGACCCAAAGAACTTTGGGGATGAGTGCGTTGCTTGGCAAGATGTCATATTGAGACTATTTGTTTATAAGGCACCACCCCCTTTTGGGTTACGTGGCAGGAACAGCACTTTGGAATAGATTTCGTGGCAGGTGGCAGGAACAGCACTTCGGGACAAATCGTCACGCAAACCATTTCGTTGAGCACCCAACCCCAATTTTCATCAAAATATGACTATGCTAAATCCCTCGGTTTCGACACAAAACCCCAAAAATACTTAAAGACAAGTCGCCTTATATAATCAAGAATTGAATATGCCCTGCTATATGGTAATTGATGGAAAAAAACAAGAAATGGACGAAGACGTCTTTGACCAAATGGTTGAAGCACTCCACAACCCCACAAACACCTATGACCCCCCAATCCCAACAACAACACACAGTCGTTGGAAACCCAACGGAAGTTATGACAAGAAACCATTAGACCCAGACTATTTTTCAAAATACTATCAGAAGAAACTATCAAAACCATTCCAATGCCCAGACTGCGGACAGACAATCAGCAGTAGATCCAATCTTTCGAAACACCGTCAAACCAAGAGATGTATGAGCAAACAAACCCACTGTTGAAATCCGAAACCTTCTCAATAACAACGATTTCTATTGAGAGCGTTTCTATGTTGAAGTCCACCCCCGGTCCCAAGACCTCCAACACCAAACCCCTGCCCAAAACTACTTAAAGAAATGCCACCTTATAGGAGAAGGAGAAAATGGCAGAGGATACAAGGTTGAAACATTCAACAGACATGTTATATGTTTAAAAAACAATCCAACAACCAATCCAATCAACCACAACATCCTCATCAAGCAATTCACACTGAAAAACTACTTAAAGAAACTTCCACTAATAATAATATAGATTATACTATAATGGACACTTCACAGCAGATTGTTTAGATTATCTTTTGTCATCCGAAAAGGGTGAGATATTGAAACGGAATGGAGAAGAACTCAAGAAACTCAAGATTGGAGACAAGACCTACAACTTTGAAAGGGGGAAACCCATTTCAAAGAGGTTGATAACAAAATTCAGCAAGATTAGGCAGACAATGGACTGCAAAAAGTATGAACTGAAAGAGAAGAGAGGCATTAGATGGGTCAATCTGGACAAGAACAAAGCACTCACAGGCATTCAAATGAGATACAAAGCAACCACCACCAACGAACAATCTGCTTTCAAAGGTTATGTCAATTCGTATGCCATCACTAACATCAGGGTTAGAGGCATAAAGGCACTACAGCATCTCAAATACCAAGATTTGAGGTTGAAAGAGTATTTGAGGAAACACAATGGAATGAAGGTTATGCTACAGGTCTTCGCCACTTTGAAGAGTAAAAAGACTAATGAAGATGTAAGACAAGTCATCAAGAGTAGAAGATACAACATCACCAACGAGGGTGAAATAC